ACCCAGTTGTACCCCAGGTTCCAGAGCACACATGACCCGCGAGTGGATGCGCCCGTCGGGCCCCTTGTAGAGGACCACCCTACCTTGTAGGTAGTCCTCTACAATGGCGCACAGGTATGGAGGCACTCGGTGAAACCTTAGTGCCTCCATAATGCATTCGCGGGGGAGGCTGTTAAATGCGTTGAGGATGCCTAACGACACTGCAATAACAGCCTCACCCCGCGCAGTGGCTGCCTTGGTCCACCCCTTTAAAAGGGCCACCGCCTCCATAGTGGACCGGTTGCGCCTGAACCCGAACTGGCGTTCGACCAGATTCGGGCCCGGCCCCTCCAGGTGCTCGACGATTCTGACGGCCAGGATCTTCTCTAGGAATTTCCCAGCATCGTCGAGCACCACTATTGGCCTATACCCCGAAGGGGAGTCTTCTGGGCGGCCGTCCTTTCTGAGGAGGACTAGCCGCCCCTGTTTCCACCTCCTGGGGAAGCGGCCCGCGGCGATGCTGAGATTCAGCACCGCCAAGAACCGCTCCTTTAGGGGTCCCAGTGCTAGGGCCAGAACCTTGGGTGGGATGGGCCCGGCCCGGGCGCCGCCTTTTTGGCCAGGAGCCTGTCCTTCACCGCATTGAACTCTGCGTCCAACACGGGAGGGGGGGGGGGGATCGGCTCCTCAGAAGGGCCCCCAGGAGGGAGCATTCTAGGGGGCTGGAACGGCCGCGGGTCGGGGAAGAGAGTCCCCTTCGTTGATAATACCTGACAAATATTTAAATAGTGTTGGACAAAGTGGTACCTCCACTTGGGATGGGACTGGTGTCGCCAGGCCGGGCACTCCAATAAGGTGTGCTCGGCCGTGTCGTCCGGGGCGCCGCAATGATGACATTGCGGCGTCTCCTCCCGACGTGCGACACGGTGCAGACAGTGACCGAAACATCCATGCCCGGTCAAGATCTGCACCATGCGGAACGTGAGGCCGCCGCGCCGGCGACCCAATCATGGCTATCGCTTACGATTTCATTTTGTTATTTCCGACCGCCTACACCTCACGCTCATTTTCTTTAATATTGTTATTACCAATAGTACAGTAATTTGGTAGTTTTACCTGGAAAGTTTTCCGGGAGTTTTGAAAATTGATAATTTTATAGATTTTGAGGTGCTCTTTCCGAATTTAGACTTTGCCACCTCGTATTTTTGCCACTCGCGCCGCCATTGGCAAAATGGCGCCAAAAACCGTTTTAGGATAAAACCGTTTAAACAGTTACCTTTATACAAAATGAAACTAGATACACTTGCCTACAATTTATGTATCTACCTTTTTTTTCATAAAGTCAATAGTCAACGCGCGCTTTGGTCATTACTTATTATTCATGCAACCTGTGGCATTTAATTGAAACTCATTATATTTGTGAATTATAAAATTAATGTAAATCAAAAAAGAAGAATAAAATATATATACAAAAAAATCAAATAAAAAAACAAGGCGCGAGTGCAAAAATATAGGGTGGCATAGTCGAAATTCGGAAAGAGCACCTCAAAATTTGTAAAATTACCTATTTTCAGAACTCCCGGAAAACTTTCCAGGTAATCACTATATTTCTCACCAAATGACTGGTGACAAATATAGTGATTACTTAGCTGGCAAATGGAAAAAAAGAACGCGAGTTATTGAAAAACCTTCGGCGGTCAGAAATAACAAGATAAAATTGTGCGCGCGCAAACTCGAGTTTGTGTGGTTTGTTTGTTTTTTATTGTATGTTGTTTACGTTATATCTCAATATTTCCACGGGTCAAACAAAATGCGCTAAAGGTAAACATATATAGAGAATTCATCTGAGTCCTGTTCTCAATAGATTGTAAATCTTATAGTAACTAGAAACAAGCCCAAAGTTCATTGGGGAATTTGTTGATGCTCAGAGTATTTCTCTGCGGTCATTGATTTTTAACACGCTTTTATTAGGTCCACTTGTATGTAACTAACTATGTAATAAAATCTAAGTATCTAAATTACACAAACTTCTAATTCTTGTATCACCATGATACTTGGCAATTGTATGTAGATTAGATTACAATACAATATTATGGTACCATCGAGCTGATCTGATGATGGGACTGGAAGTTGGCCGATGGAATCTTGGACTGCCTACTAGTAAACATTTCTGTTCATTTTTCCTGATGACTAAAAAGACAACTAAAAATAGTAAAATAAATTAGTTTAAAAACTAAAAACACGCGTTTATTTACTGCATTAAAAGCCAAAAATAAACAAAATATACTCTGTTTACTTCATTCGGGCTTTAGAGTAAGCCATGGTTATAGTTTAACATATATACCTATAACTGAAAAAGCGTGGTGGGGCGCTTCATTATTAGATTTTAGCTGAATTGTTAAGCAATACGAATCACATAACATATTATTTGAAATATACGCTTTTTCAGTATTTATATACATATATATGTTAAAATAAACTAGAAACATGGCTTATTCTAAGGCCCTAATATATTTTGTTTATTTGGCTTTTTAGTGCAGTAAATAAAAGCGTTTTTAGTTTTTAAACTATTAATTTATATGTTATTACAACTGCCACTAACACGAATTTACCATTGTAAATACCTATTTAAAAATGATCAAAGTAAATTAAAGCATTTTAAAATGAAATTCTTTCATATATCTAAACAGTTTATTATCGTCTTATACATTTCTAGTATAATGAAACAAAATCTATTTATTTCAATACTTCAGAAGTAATGAAAACAACAACATAAAACTTAAAGGTAGGTACAGAATCTATGAAGGGTTTTGATTTGCAAATATAATTTGCAACTCATACAACAAATTATTATTTGCAAATACTTATTAAATAACTATATTTGAATACTCTATTATCCAGAAAAAATTTACTGCATATTATTTGAAAATAGTATGCATTAAATTTAATAGTTAATTTCAAGTTGTTGCAAACAACTTAAAATTGGACCATTACCTTGATAAACTAAAAATAACACGAATAAAGTACCTACTCCATTAAAAATAACAATAATTTGGATAACCTAATTTATTCTCATTATCTTGTTACATTTACACTCTAAACTAAGTAGAACACAAAATAATATTTCTAATGAGTAAAGAATTAATCGGTGGTATAGTCTTAAAAGTGAGCGCATGGGTACGACTGAAGAGCCATCAGCGCAACGCACGCCAATCCGCGCACCTCGGTACTCCCCCCCCCCCGTCATTTTAATTTTTACGTCTGCGCAATAACGGTCAGCGCTAGAGTTTCGTGCCGCGACTTAAACATAATTTCTACTGATTGGGGCATGCGGTAAAGATTCCGTACCCGAACCAAACAAAACGAAACGATACCGCACCGAAACCGAGCAGGTGATGAAGAAATGGTCCTTGGCAAAAAATCTATAGTTTCGGTACAGGAAAACGAAACGAGAACGCGCTGAAGCGATGAGGAAGGCTTTCACCTAACCTACCCGGTGTAGAATTAGCAAAAGGTGATGTAGAATTATTGATAGAAAAATGAAAAGTTGATTGAATGTATCTTATCTATTCACGCATTCAAACAAACCGAGTATTATTTATTTTGAGGCTCGACTACAGAAACTTAGGCCCGTTTTACAGAATGACAACTAAGTGCTGATCTTTTCTTGAGTACAGTTAGAAAGGGATGTCGGTTTGTGCTATATAAATCGACATCCCTTTCTAACTAGGCTCAAGATTAGATCAATCCCTGAGAATCTTTCCATTTCATTTCATACGATTAAAAGCACTGGCCTGAATAAAGCGCACGCCACACCGGGTTCGCTTCGCTAAGCTAGCTTATGCTACCGTATCTCTTTTCATGAGACTTGGGTCCACACTGCGAATGATAAAGCTAACCGAGGCTGGGCGAACCAAAGGTGCCCAGCGAGCAAAACGATAAGCCACGCCCTCCGCCGAAGAGGCGCTGTCTAGCATTCTACGGAGATTTTCTCATCGTTTTATGCGGGAACATATTTGGCTTCGAAGTTACCGAGTAGCTAAAATATCTATAGTCAGCTGATTAGCTCAATTCGAATTTGACCTGTATTTAATCAAACCCTGAAAAATATTTTTTACTTCAACGCCATGTTTGCTTACTTCCAAGCAGAGGCCATTGTCAAAATTTAGCTCTTTTGGCGAAGGGATGGTGTAAGGTTTAATGTATTTGAGACTCATTAAAGTTAGTTTTGTTGCGCTGCCGCTGGTGTGGCCTACGCTTAATACACTACTACACTAGCATAGCAAAGTTCTAATAAACAAACAATAAATTTTATCATACAGTGATAACTAGTGACTGGTTGTTTTTAGAATGCGGGCGTACCGCTGTATGGAAGAAAAACCGACATTTCAGACTACAACTTTTACAAAACTCCTAAAAAGGGAGGAGAGTTTAAATAATAAAAAAAAAAATCTTTTTTCATTGCTGTGTACTCCTACTTACCTCAATTTAACATAAAAATAAAATTTTAAAATATTTTACAAACTCCTAAATATTAGCTCAGAAAAAAAAGATAACTTTATCTGTGGTTGGTACTAACAATCAGTTGTTTACCGAGTTCATAACGACTGCAAATATGAATATTATGCAATTACAACACTAAAAAATTACAAAGTTTGGAGATAGGTAAATTATTAACCTATTTTTTTAAGTAGGTTACAAATGAAAGTCGCCGCAAAATATAAAAATAATGTGTGAATAAAAATCACATATTTTAACCGTACATTAACAGGAATTTGTATGAACAAAACATTATTTCATTACAGACCATTAATGTCAGGAAAAATAAATGGGAATTACTCTCGCATATGACTGAATAAATTGAAATTATCTGCTTATAAATCATAGTTAATTCATATTGTATTTAAACATAGTCTTACTGTAAACAATAACATATTTTTAATTAAAACTAGTATAAAAATAAATGTTTTATCATAGAAAAATACAATCTATATGTATCACATTGTGTGTATAAACCATTTTGTCAGTATTGTAGATAATATTTATGGTTCAAAAATATAGTTTTTAAAAATCTAATACCCAATTACTTATGTTTCCTCATATTGTCCAGCAATAATAGTAAATGTTTTTGCTTTTGTAATTATTTAACCAGACGCATTAGCTCAGAAATCGATTGTAGTCAAATAACATTTATGTTGTTCCAAGTTCTTTTTAATTTGCATTCTTCTTTACCTCTTCTTCTTTAGCAACTTCTTCAAAAGCAGACAAAAGATTCCTTCTGCATTTACTCTCATCGGTATAATAAATAGCCCATATAACATATTCACCAATGTTGAGTGGGTCCTCTGAGAAACTGATTTGAGTTTTGCATTTTCTCTCCCATTTCATTGCATCATTAGTATGACTATTTCTTGTTCTGGTGAACTGTATAAAACCATTACATTCAACATAAAGTTTCGTCAACTGAGCATTCAAAGCATTGTGTGATCTATCTGAATTAGTGCCGCTGGTTGAAGGGGCACAATCGCCTTGACCCATTTCAATGTTTGGTGGTGTTACAGGCATACATTTCCGCCTGACACGTTTACCTAAAATACCATCACCTTTGCTGTGTAAATCAGCACAATCTTCATCATTAAAACTTCTTTTCAAACCTTTCCTCTCACTAATTTTATCATGGTGGGAATTTAAGTCTTGAGGCTGTACATCATTGAATCTATTTTTTTTTATTTCAGTGCATTCCCCATCTGTTGGAGGTTGACATCCTTCAGCCCATTCAGGGCTATTGGATCTTAAAATCTTGCTTTTACATGTCCTTTCTGTTTTGGCACCAGAAATTTGAGGAGAATCTAAAAGACTAGACAAGATGTGCTCTTCATTTCTGAAAAATATTTTATTAATTTGTAATTTGTATACTGCTTTTTTACTATAATTATATTCTATTGATAGCAAAGAATTTTAATTTTGTTTAATTTTAATCTTTAGGAGAGGAGAACAAAAGAAAACAAAATACTGATGATTCAGATAATTTAATAAGTGCTTAAATTGTTATACAAACCTTCTAACTCTCTCAGAGCGACTCTGTATCCTGTCAATGTTTTGAACTGACACAAAATCATGTCTTGTAAACTGCATGTCATGTTTCAGAAAAGAGGATACTTTTTTTCTTGTTTTGATGGTTCTCCCAAACCATTCCAACACAGCATCATCAGATAAATACAAAACTATATTTTCACGTTCATTATCGATCATCTGCTTATACCATGATATAAATTGTTTTGCTTGTTGGAGTTCTGTTACCTTTTCTCTGTTTTGAATGATGTCTTGAGATTTTTCAATTGTACTTTGTGGAATGTGTTGCTGAGGTGCAGACATATTATTCTAGAAAATGAATACAATTTTTTTATAAAATATCTCTTACATTTATCTGATTTAGAATCATGAAAATAGAGATTATTTATATGCAATTGCATAAATTAATATTTTACTAGAAGCCTGCCCAGCTTTGCTATAATAAATAAATGTGATAATAAAACTGCCTAAGTCACACAGGAATATACAATACACCATTCAATTCCTTGGTGCTCAAAGATTGGGCTCACAGAAACATAATATCACCAAGGTTACATTACTGTAGTCTTCTGTAAGTTGGGGGTTACTTCCCCAGACAGGCCCTCCAATTAGAATGGAAATTCCGCTATACCCTACCTCTAGGGATGAAACGAAACGAGTAAATACAAGTAACTACACGATACTTTTCTTTCGATACCAACTACTTTTGGCATGAATACTTTAGAACTAAGTTACAAGTAGTATCGTGAAGTAAGTACTTGTATCGGTACTTGGTCGGTCACTCACTGAGAAGTATCAAAAAACTAGATAGGCAGATTATTTACTCTATGGTAAGGTGTCTAGTTTGAGTTTTTGTTTCGCGAACACATCTTTTCTACTGCTCATTTGGTAGCCTTGCGTATGATTTATATTTATTCCAATTTATTCAGTCAATCATTTGTTCATCGTGTTGTGTGAGCCATTATTTTGTTGTCCTTAAATTCAAACTGTGTCTGAATTTGTAATTGTAATATTGTTCGTCAACATTTATCGATACAAGTATCTATACTTTTCATTCAATACCAAGTAGGCATAAATACTTTATGACCGATACAGTATCAGTAAAAGTATCAATACCTAGATGGTATCGTTTCATCCCTACCTACTTCTCTTTATGTTTGATTCAAGTTAATTAAGATTAAACTTCATGACTAACAACTTTGCAATTTGTCAATAATTGGTGACATAAAATACAATTATTAAGTTTAGTGTTATACTACACCCACTAGATGAAACTATAGGGTTCGATTCCCACTTGGTTGCTCAGAACAACAGTGCAGATTAGATTTTTTTTTTATTATTCTATTTTCTTTGTTTTATTAAAATGGTCTGGGTTATTTGGTTTGTTTCTTCTATGTGTTTTTAACTGTTTTGTCAGACCCAGTCCCGGGGTGACGCTATTCCATACGTCCCCGGGGTGCAGATTAGATTAGTTTTCTTCAGTGTCCTCTGGATTTGGCCAATATCTAGTATTTGTGTCAAAAATTTCTTGACTAGGTTTGTTTGGTGAGGGCTTTATATGAATAAGATTACTCACATTTTTCTGAAAGAATTTCTACTACTTCATGAGAACTATTAGCTCCATGTGCTAATTGTAATTTAAGATGTGCTAAGCGACGCTTACTTTCTTCAATGTATGCAGTTACAGATAGATTAACCTCCAGCAATTCCTTGTGCAATAAAGTAAGGTTTTGATTATTTTTTACTATATCTTCTGAAATTCAAAGATACTTATTATTACACAAAAGCAATGACAAATTCAAAAACAATTGAAACAGGGTTCGAGATTTGAAACATAACCTACGCAAACAATTTGCTGCTTCCAATGCTAAACGATCATCGGACAAATCTTCAGATATTAAGGAATTCATCTTACAACTTCCTCACAACAACATCGACGTTCACGAAAATTCAAAATCGTAATGAAAGATTTTAAATTTGAAATAAATAAAATCACAAGTTAGGAAGCGTCCCTTTCACAAGTTGCACAAAATTTATTTGAACCAACCACAGACTGATGATTTGAACTTTGTTCAATTCAATCTAGTCTAGTTCATTCATTGAATTCATTCAAACATCCAATCATTCATCACACTTAGCTCTAGCATAGATATTACTTTAACTCTATGGTCTAGATTGAAGAAATAAAGGAGTATTTAGACAACAAATCTAAATGATGGCCAAAAGGTCAGACACATGCTGTTTCTGTGTCAGATGTAGCAGCAGTATATTTTATTTTAACCACGTTATTGCGTTGCATTTATAAGGCAACGAAAATAATGTTTTAGTTTTTAAAAACCACCCAGACGAAGTCACGAACATATGCTACTCCTAACATAAATTATTTGAAAACACATTTGTTTGTATATTTAATTTTACACTTTCACGTCTAATCTGAATCTGAATGAATCTGACTGAATCAACTTCAATCAACGAATTTCGATGTATAGATAGACTTTATACAATACAAATAGCCATATGAGATTTGACACATATTCTGAATGAAATGGAATAAATGTTTTTTTATTAGATTTGATACGCAGAAAACTTTATTAGCTTACTTTATTAACATATTGTGCAATTATTTTTCTCGTATGAAAGAATGTAAATTTGTCGTAGACAACTGGTTGCAAAACACAGTTGCGATGGTGGCTGAAAGGATGTTTCAAAAAAAAGTATTTTTAAGAATCAGTAAGGTAAGGAATAATTCATACCGTGGTAAAGTATGCCGTTAGCAACATTATACTTCAAAATATGGTAAATAAATATTATAATAAATCTAAGTCCATTGTACTGAATGCACCTTTCACTAGCACCATTTATGGTGCAAATGAAATTGATTAGTTTCGTTTGCAATCAGTTCCATTTGCACCATCTATCTTGCAAGTCAATGGTGCATTCGGTACAACGGCAATCTAAGGTCATGCCAACCAATGTTATCACTATTGTAATTGTAGGCCGGTCATTAGAGGCATGAGCATGAAGATTTATTTCCTTCTCTCTCATCCCCAGTTGACATCTTGCTTCCACCTATACACATATACCATAGACAATTCGTTAATTACGTGAACGATTGGATACTCGGGCAACCGCGCTTCTTTGGGAGTGGTAATGTGTCGAACCAATCTACTGCGTTCTTGCGATCATTGACTTCGTCCATTGGTCTATCCTTTGTCAACCAATCATCGAAAAACCAGTGAGGATCCCTTTTGTAAGTTTACGATTTTCAACAAATATTTTGCCGACAGAAATGAGAATGTTTAATTTTTACAATATTTTTCTAAGTATTGGCTTTGGTGTGAATTTTTGTGTGCTGTCTGATGAAATTACGTGAGGAGCAGCCATTTTGGTTACGTTGCGTTGTCCTCGCTGCTATGACGTGTATCTATATTATCTGGCATGAATTTTACACTTTTAGTGCCTACTTAACTTGATAATGCAGGTAATAGAATCTTAACAAAATGAATATATAGATGGAAGACCCGAATTGGTATAGTGGTACTTGCTCACAGGCAAATAATTTATTCACTTCATAGGAGTAACAAAGTTTTAAAGTTTCATATAGTTCTCTTTTATAAAAGTTGAAAATGTAAAAAGCAAATCTCTTAACCTTCAATCAGTAAGTATAAAACTAATGTTTGTTTCAGTAAGTTATCATGGAGCATGCACAGATTCAGAGTTCAGATGGGACGCAGGTCATGACCATCAATGGTCAACAGCTACAGGTTCTACAGATGAACCACTCCCCTCACGTGATACAGGGTCCTAATGGCCAGCAAATTGTGGTACATGCTATACCGTCTACTGCTCCCACTATTCAGGTAGGTAGATTAACAATTTATTTTACCGATATCCAATTATTGATAGACTTTGTTTACACTGAATTATGATACATGTATATTGCCTTTGTTCATGCAAACAATCAGATTGGAGCACCACAAATCCAGGTAGTAGTAATATTTAAGTTTATAATAATAAGATTTTTTTTTTAATAATAATATAAACTAAAAACATTTATTCAGTCTAGGCTGTTACAAGTTCTTGTGAACGTCAACTCTATGCCAATCGTTCATAATTCTATGGTGGGAGACATTATACTGAGAAGAACCAGCAAGAAACCTAAACAAGGGCTATTTTTTCTCCCTAATTTATTTCACACAGTATCGTCAATATATAAATAAGTATGATGTGTGATGTTTTCATATCTATTTTCTCATTTCTATACCATACTGCTGTCAATTGTTGTGATTACAGAAAAAAAGTTATAGTATTTATATAATTATAATATGACCTGAAGTCAGTATTAAAATATTTGTAAATATTACCTGGGATTTATAGAACTGTGTTGCATTAACAGGTGGCTACTCCTAATGGGCAGCAGATACAACAACTTCAAGTGCTACCAATATCAAGCCTTCAAGGTAAGTCAACAAGATATTGTTACTCATTAATTCTATGTAAAAACATGAAACTCTCAGCTGATTTTTCAACAACTTTTTTAATGTACTTGATGATAGGGTGGAAATTGCATGTTAAAGATTAAAAACATTTAATCTTTTCAAATCGCAAAGTGATAAGATATAAAATTTCTTGAAATATTATAAGTGATAAAATTTTGTATTGAATAGATTTGCATGAGAATGAGTAAAATGATGCCATCAAATTGAAGAGTTCATAAATTAAACTTATTTTAGATGTTTCATACAGATGTTGCTGTTTTAGACTGATAAATAATTATCTGTACACTTTTTTGAAGTAACATTACTTTAAAAAAACCATTATCATGGCTTGTGGTAATTTCCAATCATATAAGGTAAAGAGGGTTAATACTTGAATAAACTCTTTCTCTAGATTAAAATCTAAATTTTGAAGGGCCTCCATAGGGCATTTTATGAAAGGATAGCTTAAACTGCTATCAAATTGTGGTTCTATAGAGTCAAGTCACAAGAAAACTTAATTCAACTATAGTTTTTAATTTAAAATATATTTTCTTTGCAAATAAGTTTTTTGCCTAATATTTAAATATATAGGATATAATTTTTTTATGTTTACTGTTACAGGTGCAAGTAGTAACATACAGCCTATGCAGCTTGTTCAAACACCAGATGGACAGACATTTTTATATTCACCTACAGCAAGTGCTCAGCCCACTATAGAGCAAACCCAGCTCTTACATCAGCCTACAGGTGCGAGTAAGTCTATCAACATATGATCAGACTTTGATAAATAATATGCTCTTCTAGTTATGTGTAATTTTATTGCTAATAACAGCAATTACTTTGAAGTTGAGAATAAAAATGTACAGTTCTGATAAGACCAAGTCTTGCCAATTTCAAACTTAAATTAGTATTTAGTTAACAAAATAACTTTGCACTAATTAAAACATAATTAACAAACTGTCAGAAATTTTGAAGAACTTTCAAGTTATTATGATGATACTTCATACATCTTACAAGAACTTTCAAGTTATTATGATGATAATATTATAATTTGAATGCAAATTCAGACTGCTAAATTAGCATTGGTTCCTTAATGGAATTAATTGTTTACAGTGATAAATTTATCCGGAAACTTGGTGCAAGTGACAGGTGTGAGTAATACAGTCCAACAGCAGCAGGTCATCAATCAGCCGAACATTGTTATGGTAAAATTTTATTTATATTATTTACTTACTGCCAGTTTTGATAATCAATCTTCAAATATACAGGCAAATAATTAGTTGCAGAGATATATTTATTTAGATTAGATATTAACAAAACTGCTGCTTAGAACATTACCATAAGGTGGTTGAAAATGGCAGGGCCCGATTTAAGGCAGGACAGACAGCGGCTGTGGTCTAGCAGCCTCCACAAGAGGGGCCACAATATAGATAATAAAGAGGGGGAGGGGGGACCCTTTGTTGCCTCAGGATCTCTCACAGTCAGCCTCTACACCTCTAAAAGTGGTCATTTCAGATACTGTTATGTTTGAATTTACTTACCTTGTTTGAATTTACATATCTGGGGGCTGGGCTATAATCTAAAAATTATATTACATTTGTAATATGTAACTTGGTCCTTTGCTCTTAATTAACAGTTGGATTAACTTTCTTTTTTAGTATTTTGCCCAACTTTATAACTCTTTAAATCCTAATTCCCCAAAAGTGCAGCTATTTCTTTGAACCAATATGAAATCAATAATATTGATATATTATACATTAATAATATTATCGACGACCTCCGTGGCCGAGTGGTATATACGCCGTGTTTCATGGCGTCGCCTACTCAGAAGTCCCGGGTTCGAATCCTGGTTGGGGGAAAATGTTAGTATGATGAATATGAGCATAGTCATGTATGTATATATATATTTCTAGATAAATATACTTATAGATGTACAGTTATATGTATTGTATCTATTACCCTAGTATCCCATAACACAAGCCTTACAGTGCTTACTTTGGGGCTAGGCTGATTGGTCCGTCCAACACTCACAGAGTTAGAAATATTTATTTATTTATTACATAAAATGTACGTTTCTTTAAACAGTATAACAACAGTAACGCTGGCGCCGCTTCTTCAGAAGCTTGTTCCTCCACGGCGGGCTCGGACGAGGAGCCGCTTCTGTATGTGAACGCGAGACAATACAAACGCATCCTTAAACGCAGAGCAGCAAGGGCCAAATTACACGAGCAGGGCAAGATACCTAAGGAACGGCCTGTGAGTGTTATTGTGATTTGTTCATAATAAAATAAGGAATTTCAACCTCTTCTGTACGTGAACGAGAGACAGTACAAACGCATCCTAAAACGTAGGGCAGCAAGGGACAAATAACACGAGCAGAGCAATATACTTAAGGAACAAACCGTGATAGTAATTGTGATTTTATTTGGAACAAGAAATGAACAAGAAGCTCGATGGTGGAAGTGGTTATCGCCTTCGGCTGCGATCGTTGAAATTAGGCAACTTTCGCAGTGCTCGGTCATTGGATGACCAAGAATTTACTATCTCGATCACGTTAAGCCATTGGTCCTGGATGCATCTGCAGTTGTTAACACCAACCAATCCGCACTGGGCCTGTGTGGTGGGTCCTGGCCCAGTCTTCCTATTTCATCCATAGGGAAGGCCTGTGACCCATGTGAGGCCATGTGTGGGGACATTAATAGGCTGATGATGATGATGGATGTCGTTTTGATGATGAAAGTGTGAATACTACTTCTTCAATACCTTCTTTACATTAAATCTTTGGCATTGTCAAGTCTGACATGTTTAACATTTACGATCAGGGGTAATATATTAAAAGAAGTTCATTCCTCAACCAGTTAATTAAGTAAATTGAAGATAAAGTACTAATTGATTTTTCATCTCAAATCGTTTTTACGACACAGTTAAAGTTACAATAATATTAATATTAACTATACGTTATTTCACCAGCTATCCCAAAGTTTTGTATACTTAGCCCGTATAATGACTGCATGTATACATATAGTTTAAATCAATGAAAATATTGTGATACAATGATAAAATGTTTTTTTCCACATTTCAGAAATATCTACATGAGTCCAGACACAGACATGCAATGAACAGAATAAGAGGGGAAGGTGGCAGATTTCACTCCGGAAGTAGGAAGTAAGTGCTTTTTATACTACATCTTTTGGTTGTCCTATTAGCCACATCCGAAGTTCATGCATGTTCAGAAAAACAGTGTGCTGTCTATCTCCCTTTAAATAGATGTTATCATTGTCCAAATTTTCAATTCTACTACCAGATTTAAATCTCTACAAAACAGTAAAATGTCAATATAACTGAATCATATAATTTAACTGAAATATATGGGATCAAATGCCATTATAAGCATTTATGGGTGTAAAAGAAGCGAGAACTTAAAATAAATTTAATTTTTAAAGTGAAACTTCTATTTCTTTGTTTTTTTTTTTCATCTTTTTCACATTGCATTACATTTTTTATTGTTTTTAAAAATTTCAGATATTGTCTACAAGTATTGGTGATTCGGCCGGGTTTGATTCCCAATCGAGGAAGAACCTTTTTTTATAAGCCAGAGTAACATCAATGATTTTTTTTATTTCACTTGCGTAGTGTCATTTAATCACACCAATTTTAATTTTCTGAAAACTTATAACTAATTTTCACATTCCAGAAACATGGATGAGGCTGGGCAAACTGCAGAAGATATAAAACAAGCTTTGGACGATATGAAGCCTGATACAGTCTCCATCACAATCATACAGGTATCTTATTCATTTTGTAACATTTGTAAGTTGACCTTGTATTGGTGATGATTCCGAAATGAGTGTCTAAACCTCAAATTAAATTTGCATCCTTGTCATTCTCTATACAGAATGAAAAAGAGAGACTGACGGTAAATTTAGTTTTAATCTTGAAAATATCATAGCATAATCAAATCAATTATTATTCTTAAATATAAAAAAAATAACTGTTTATTAATTTATTATAGGAAGATGAAAGCCAAGATCGTCCGACCAACCAGTGGCGGCGATTGGCGCCCCACCAATCATTGCAGTCTACGTAACGCCTTCAATTAAACAAGGAAACATTACTACATTTCCCCGAACTAATTGTTACCCAGTGAATATACAAGTGTTAAAATGGAATTCGTATCCGTGCATTGGTAAACCTTAGATTCTATGTGAAAGTGTTAAAGTTTGCAGTTCTTGCATAGAAGCAAGTGGTGGAACATAGAAGACTAATATGGATTACCACTACTGTATTTTAGGTATTTGCATTGTCTTATCAGGTAGCCTTTAAGGTTGAATTATTTTAAATATTTAGTACTCCAAAATAATCAAAGGGTATGTGCATGTGGTACAAACTTACGTTAGTGTAATGGCGTCTAGAAAATCGCTACAAAAATTAAGATACATAATTTTCTTTTAATTAACATGCATTTTCACAAGTGAAAAATTATAATGATAACCAAGCATATGCCCTTTAATCAATAGGATAATTTCATTGAAAAAGTAACTTTTAACACTAATTGTGGGCCTTGAACAGAATACTGGGACTTAGTGTTAGCTGTCTTGTTTGAATTATTTATGTTTTCAATTAAATTTGTTATTTATAATTTACATCCAAAAACAAATTTATTGTTACGTGTTACACAATAATAAATTATTGTTAATCAAGTCCTAATCTGTGTGATATAAGACATAGATATGTATTGGTTTAAGATTGAAATTGCAACAATCAGGTAAATAATGGCACTTTAGTAATTCATGCATAATGAGGACAATATGGATTGTCAAGTCCTTTAATATTGACATAAATATCTGCAATATTTGTAATTAAGGCTCTGGAATAAGTTTTGTTTCTATTGTTTTCTGATTTATTTATATTAGACCATGTTCAAATACTTATGTGCTTAAAGCATTATTGGACAGTACAATTTGCAATATAGTTAACTCATTTTTTTAGTATTCAATACATATGTACTTTCATTCAAAGGGTATTTTGGTAACTTGGAGGCGGAATCTTTAAGGAAATTGTTTCAGTTGGGTTTAATCACCTGTATCCCAGATTTGTAAATAATGACTGTAGTATATAAATTAGCAAAATTTCGTATAACTTAAAGATGGTATTCATGAGTAACATTAAAATATTTTTCCTATTTATTACAATTATTTTGTTTCTCTAATGCTAATTTAAGGTTCATAAAAATGAGATTTTGACATCGGAAACTCTAACCAGTACAGGCGCAATAAGCAGTATAAAAATTTAAACAATAAGAATAGACTTGATTTTGTCAAGACAAAGCCATTTCTCTTGTTGACCCAGTTCCTTGGTCTTTGTAATCTTGTAAATTTTGTAAATATACTTTGTAGCAATAAAAATTAGAATTTTATAGTATTTGTATTGCAATCGAAATTTTTCTAAGTACAAAATAAAGATTGCACTTCTAAAAGTGGATTTTATTTAATAATCTGCAGAGATGTTACTTAATAATTAAAAATTATGACATTGTAAATAATCAACATTTGTTGTAAAACAATTTTATTAAAAAAGAGATCCATAAACATGTTTTCCAAAAGAAATATTCAGGTAGATTAGTTATTTTACTTATAAACTAACACTTACTACATATAAATTGGCATCAAATCTAATTGATTAATTCAATAAAAAATTTAACATCTGAACAAATAATATATTTTCTACAAAAAAGTAAATATCAACATGTTCAAGAGAATTACAAAGGAAAATATAACTCAAAAAGTTACCTCGGAATAATATTTATATACATATTTGTACAGAAAATCTATAAACTTAATAATAAAATTGCATTTGTTTAACTATCAAAAAACATTTATCTTTGGAATCAAAAGAGAACATCTCAAATATAAATGAACACTACTATTTTTTTGAGTTTTTAAGAGAGTGGAGATTAATTCTTCAGCACACTCTTATCAAATTAAGTAAAATGCACAGAAAGATGTCAATTTATGTTTAAAAAATATGATGTTGTCTGTATGTGTGAGAGCGAAAGAGTAGGACCTTACTTTGACAACAATTAAATTTCATTGACGCCTCATAATGCTGCTGTTAAAAAAATCATTTAGGTACAAACTTCAAATTACAGAAGTGTCAATGATTGTACCCAAGAATTCCCCTACGCTTAGTTAGAAGTACTTTGGTAAATTATAAATATCCTATCAATGAGAAAATTTATAGATGTGTCGTGATGTTCAAGAGTTGGAATTTGGTACTGGGTGGTTTGATAGAAAACTATACCTATTAGGTTTTACAAATTTTATACCTTACCATGAAGTTGTCACAGTTAATTCCTAAATCCTCATATAATTTGGTTGTGGTTGGATGAGTTTTTTTGAAAAGATCACTCAGACCATACGCACATTGCAATTTGTAACTACTCGTACTCGTCGTGTTATGTATGCGTGTGTGAATGTTTAGTGTTGTCCCGCACGCGCTGTATCTCGGTGGTGATGGCGCTGATGAGAGGCAGCGCGGGGTCGTTGACCGGGAGACGCGCGTCGGTCTCTACCAGCGCCGGGTTTACAGTGGGAATCCCACCCCTCAGTGACTGATGATAATAAAATGATAAAAAAATTAATAGGGTGTTTTCCAAATTTTTGATAACTGCTTATTATTAAAGATTGGGACAAACGATTTAACAGAATAATAAAAATAAATTAATTAATGTCTTTTTTTCTTCATTAGACCATTAAAGTTGAATTTATTTTTAATGGTTTTGAGTATACCGCCAAAACGCTCGGTTCGATGACGTCTACTGTGTGACAACTTTGTGTAAACAACAAGTAAAATCGAGACAGATCACAACAGTTCACGGACTACATAGGAGTTAAAATTCTTTACTCAAAGTTGACGTCACACAATAGATGTCATCAAACCAAGCGTTTTGGCGGTAAATTCAAAACCATTAAAACTAAATTCAACTTTAAATGGTGTAATGGAGAAAAAAAGGTATTAATTAATTTATTTTTATTTTAAATTGTTTGTCCCAATATTTAAAAATAAGCAGTTTTCAAAAAATTGGAAATTACCCTATTTTACCAAATGTAGGCAGCCTATAAATTCTAGAGTCTGATTCACAGAACAAAGATAGAGGTTAGAAGGACCTTGTGTGCTGGGCAGGCTGCGCCATAGTTGTGAGTGAGCAAATGCTCACTTCATAACTTGACCAAAACTTGGTTTTGATTGCGTCGTTGCTCTCGAGTATGAGCGCTGTTTGGTTCGACTGTTTCATGTCGCGTCGTTTGATTGGCTATTATCTATTAGGTAGAAGTGTAGTGGGACCAAGCCGGCGACATCGATTCCCGTACAAACGGTCTTTATATGACCCTTCTAACCTGTTTCTGTGGTTTGGGTGGCGAGTCACACAAATCAAAAATATCTCACCTTTTCTTAAGAGGACCACGCGCGCTGGCCTACGTTGCCATCGACTTACTGTGGCCACTATTCCTACACGAACAAAGAAATTTGGCGACTCATTTCTTTGTCGTACTATTCTTAAGTGGAATTCTTTACCCGCGCACGTGTTCCCTCCTTCCTTCCTGGTAGGGATGGTTGGTGTAGCAGTTAATAACTGCTGTACCAGCTATCTTCGCGTTTGGACTTTATCACCACTTAACATCAGGTGGGGTAGAGTCATTTGCCTACCTAGTAATATAAAAAAAAAAAAAAAAAAATCTCTAAGATCTGAATCACACTACGTTTCTTTAAGAACTTGGATCGCTCTAGGACTCAAATAAATGGAACAATCAAACATGTTCCTCTGTTATATGGACATTGTTTCTACTTCATTTTAACTGCGAGCAAGGTTATAAGAAGAGAAAATGATGTGAACGGATGTCGTGAAATCGTACCTACAGTATTTGAAAATGTGGTAGCGCGTGCGGTCTGTGATCGTGGAAGTTAAGCAATATTCGCCAATGTTCGGTCATTGGATGGGTGACCAAAAACTTATTGCCCGAGCTCCTCCGTGGTTCGGAAGGCATATTGAGCCGTTAGTCGCGACTGTATCTTCAGTCTTTAAAACACCAATCCGCGTGGGAGGTCACGACTTAATCTCCCTATTTAATCCATAAGGAAGACCTGTGCCCCAGTAATGGGGACATTCAGTGCCGTCTTTGACCTATTGGAGGCCCTGGGCATATTAGGATAATGGGGCCCCTATGACCCCCGTTTGGTGATCTAACAAGAACTAGGGACTTTGTATTTGTGATCTGAGGTGCCCACCTATCGATCAGGCCCTGGGCACTTGCCCAAAGTGCCTACTGGGAAAGACGGGTCTGGGGACATTGATAGGCTGACGATCTTACTATCCTTCGTCTTTCAATACTATACATGTGTAAGTTTCTATGTTTGTAATTCGATCACACAAAACGGCTAAATGGATTTGGATAAAATTTTACATACATACAACTTATAACCTGGAAAGAGGCATAGGATACTTTTAATCCCGGTTCTTGGGGGATTTTTAAAATACTGAAGTTGGAAAATGCCGCTGTCCTTATTATCTCTCACTCCTGCGTGCTTCGGAATGCACGTTAAGCCATTGGTCCCGGCTGTAGGTATGTGCATTCGTTAGGGGGCGTCCATAAATTACGTGAGCTGTATTGTTGTCCTCTTCTTGATAACAAAATGTCGATTACGTAAATAACATTCACGACAAACCGTGATTATTGAGCAAAAAAAAATATTTTACATTTTTACGCATGAGTGTTGCCGAGGCATTTGTTATTTGATTTTGAACTATTTGTATTCTTTATAAAAGCATCGAAGGCATTGTTTTATCTTTATAACACAGAATATGCGCAATATTGTTATATTGAGGGCACATGCAGCATGTTTGAATGTCCAATTTTGACTACAGCGAATTGTGATCGTGCACAACAATTTAAGCGGATCACTTTTAAGCCGCGAGTGCCGTATCTTCCCTTTTTGTTTTAATGTAAGGCTAATGATGATGAATGTTATTCTCACATGTGAGGGGGTAGGGCCCCAGGCGCGGGCGGGTGCGGGCGCGGGGCGCGGGGCGGAAGTGCGCGGCCGCATCGTAGATGTATCCGCTATTGACGCCCGACTGAATGGAATAGATACGTCTTGTTATAGGTATTTTTGTTTTAAAAGCTACTTATTAGTAGAACTACCAAATGACAGGACTAATAGTTTTTGAAAACTGAGCGTGATAAAAACACGTTATATATCATATCGCGGTGCTCAGGCTAGGGGGAAGGGGGAGGTGACCCGTCTGGTTTTTTTCAAGTAAAAATTTTCTATAGATTAAAGTACAATGCTGTGAGTAAGGTTTAGAATATAAGGGGACCAAATACTACATTTCTAAAAAAATATAGTAGGAAAAACTACTATATTTTGCTTAAAACAGACTTTTGCCAGTAAAAGCTTTCTTAAAATTAAAAACTGAAGTATTAAGGTATAAAGCAGCAAAAATATACTCACTATTTAACCACATACTATATTTTTTCCATTTTTTTGTCATCTACTATATTTTAAGAGACAACAGCTTCGAAAATACTATATTTGATAGAAAAAATTAAACAGATAGAAAGTTGGTAACCCTAGCTGTGAGTATCGCTGGAAAGAAAAGAATATTTGCATAAAGAAATAATATCCGCGAAGCATGAGCACCACAATTTACTAGACTAAAAATTCGGAGCCATATGCCATGGCCAGTAGACCTATTCGCTTACTGCTTTTGCCAGATAAAAGTGATAATCACCGAGCTATTTAGTGATCCACTACTGCTTCATTATAACACCACTAAGATATTTGTTCTAACAAGCATCGATGGATATGTAATTGGTGACCACGGAGGAAAAACAATTGTTGAAAAAATTGAAAAACAACAAAAAAACAAAACAAAATTGTTTTTCCTCCGTGTTGGTGACACACTGTACATGTCAAAAAGTTACCGAATAGGTCGGCTGTTCTCATTATTATTATTCCTTTCCTTCCTACGTCTTTGTCCAAGCTATGGAGGTTAGAGACAAGGAGAACGATCGCTACGTACAAAAGCATTAGCCCGCCTGCCCTTAAATTTTGTAGAATTTATAGTTAATTTTTCAGTTACCAGCCGCGCTGCCGTCGTTAAGTAGTATCTGTGAAGTTAACTGTTTATGAGTAAAAGTAGATGAAGTTAGTTGAATATTGTACAAAGGAGTTTTTAGCGGGATTTCATCAAGTGCGGTTGGCGTCTTATTTTATTTATTCTTAAATTCGTTCATAGTGGATATTGTGAAATAAAATTGGTGTGATTTTGTGTTATAAACATCTGCGCGACTAAAGAATTAGTCGAATCTTTAAAATATACGCTATTCCGATCAAATGTACGTGAGAACTTTATTGTAGTGTTGACTACCTCACAGAAGCTTATCGAAAAAACCAACTCGATAAATTTATTTATTTAATCTTTATTGCCTTATATGCAAATGGCGGACTTAATGCCAATATGGCATTCTCTACCAGTCAACCGGAAAGAAAGTGCAGAGCGAATATAACGGCAAAGAATAAAAAAAAAAAAAGTTAACATCAAACAATGCAAAAAACAAAATTAAAACATAAACATAATTATATATACACATACTTAAATACATATCCTATATATCTAATAATATATTACACATAAACAAAAATTTTCGTGCCAAACACTCCAGAAAACATTAGAATGCGTAACACCGACATTCTAACGTAAATAAAAAATGAAGATAAGGATTTGTATTTATGTATACGATTGAAGGACTTGTATCCATGTTCACGAATAATTAAAAAAAATGTACAAATTTTTTTTCGGCATTGGTCATTTCAAGTTGGCCTGGTTTTATTGAGACAACTTAGTGATCGCAGCGCCTTACTTATTTTGTCGATATTTCTGGGACACTATTTCTACAGCGATCGTTCTCCTTATCTCTAACCTCCATGGTCCATGCAGTGCGGTCTTAATAGGCTGACAATGAAGTATATGACTTACCTGCCTCCCGCAGATTTGCCTCGCACTGTGTCCATGGCTGTGTACGGTGACCCAGGCAATCGCACGTTATCATTACGTGCTTGCGTCACTTGTTCGCCTTCTAGAAAAAGAAAACGAGTTGATTTGACCTTCAACGTCCTTGGATTACGGGCGCGCGCACTGCTTTCTCTTGCTTATATCCTCCACTCAACTCCATGTCGCCTCGCCTGAACACACTTTTCGTAACGAGTAACGCATTCGCCAGCTTACCCTCCAAGTTAAGCGTGCGTAAAGAAGTTTCACTTAAAAAACTAATACTTATAATCATACACAATTGGAGTAATACTTATTGTTGATTGAAGCATTCACCACAAGGAAAAAAGTATGTATAGGTACTGTAACGCCCGCAGTGTTGCAGCCTCTTCGCTTGTAAGTGTCTACGGCAGGCAATCATATAAAAAAATGTTAATTAAAAAAATCTAAAAACCCGACTGCTTAAAGTTTTCAAATGAAAACTGAAAGAAATAAAACAAGTACAGTAGTCTATAATTCTGTTAAGTTAGGCACAAAGCTACTTTAACAGTCGGGACCCATTAGATATTCAATAATGGATCAATTTTTTAACCGTCTTCAAAAAAGGAGGAGGTTCTGTGTTCGACTGTATATAGGTTTTATCAATGCAAAGGATGATGGGCAAAAATGTATGGAACTTGGTATCCGTTCCAATAGAGATGTGTTACATATCATTTGAAAGGTCTACTTGAATACAATAATGTCTACTATGGCGCTTGCCCTGGTACGTTGTCGAAACAGAGTTACATAATAAATAATAAAAAAAAGTTTTTTCCCTTTTAAATTGTTATACATTTCAGTATTTACATTATTTTAGCAGTGTAAGTATTAACAATAGGCATAAGGTTAGAGCGTTGATATCTGCAAAAGTTTAAAAAAAACTGTATTGCAGATACCAGTGCCTTCCGACTTAGTAACAATACAACCTCGTGTGAACTATTTAATGTTTATCTTTAACGAGAACGTTAATAAAAGAAAATGGTAAAAACATAATAAAAAAAAAACAATAACTAGCTTGTTATATTGAACGGTAACCATAGGCGTATATAGAGGGGGGGCCAAGTGGGCCGTGCCCACCCCAGGATGTTGGACTACCGATTCGAAATTCTATAATACTAATCACTAACTTCAGATGACTCTTCAATATCAGGGCCCAGGCCCCCCCTGAAAAATAACCCTAGATAGAACCCTAGATACGCCAATGACGGTAACACTTAATAAAAAACTTTAACAAAAATAGATAAAAATAGATTTTAAATATTAATCTTTGTTGGTACATTATGATTTTATTCATTTAATTTTTTATGTATGCAGTTATCCAGAGGCAGAGTGAAAGAAACTAATTTTTGAGTAATTACTTTATTCATTATCTATAATAAGGATGTCATTTAGGAACAGTGCAGGAGCGATGAATCCGGCGTGCCTGGCATAGCCTAGGTACCATATAATTAATAATATGTCAGCACAAGTTCTTATGGTACGTCTACCGGTTACACATGTACAATAATGTTGAATTATATTATTATAATTATTATTCGGTAAGTATAATAATGGTAATAACGGTTCCGGCAAAAATGGTTCTGGTATTTTCTGGAAAAAAAAAAGCGGACAACAAATATCAGAATGCCGCCATAGTAACTAATATTCTACATGAAAAGAGGTATTCAATGATATATCACTCATCGCTATTGATACCAAATACCAATTGGATACCAAAATGCCCGTCCTCCTTTAATTATAAATTGAATAAGTCGTTTGTGCATTATCCTTTCAAAAATCTTGGAAAAATTAGACAGCAGAGATATAGGCCTGTAGTTATCTATATTATCTCTTGTTCCTTTCTTGTGTATAGGCTTAATCACGGCAGTCTTTAGTGCGTTCGGGAAAACACCAGTAGCAAAAGATAAGTTAATTAAGTGACACAGTACAGGAACAATTTCTATTTTACATGACTTAAGTATGCTATTCTGTATTCCTTCGAACCCCGTTGAGTTAGTGGACTTTAGTGATTTTTCAGTTTTTATTATCTCTTCCTCATTAGTTGGATACAAAAATAAGCTGGCATGATTAGATTTAATTTGATTGTCATTTTTAATTATAGTTTCATTATTAGAATATTTATGTTAGCATAATAATTATTAAAAGCATTTGCTATGTCAATGGGCTTTGTTTTTGTCTCGATTCGATGTTTCCAGATAGAAAACCGGCACAGCCGCGAAATGTTGATATTGACATAATTGTAATTCTATTCCGAAATTCTATAAAATATATATTCAGTATTTTATTTAGTATAGTTACGCCTCCCAAGATTCCCTTCTGGAATCCTTACAGTACCTACGTTATAACAAAAACTTAATTTCGTCTTCTATATGTTGCATGAGCTGTGAATGCAGCGTTTCCTTTTCATTCTCTTTGGTTACCAAACACTGCAACATTCTATATTAAGAGTGAGTGACAATATCATATCTCTGGAGTGAGATAAGTCAAGCATCCATAAACTCCTTTAATTCCTAGTCCCTCTTACCATGAGAGCAGCCACACAAGCCATTTCTTTGCGATGCAACCATTCACATGCCAACACCGCGTAGCCTGCTATTTGACATCTTATGAAATTATTTGAACTGTAAAGAAAATTTCATATAGGTCAGTACCTACCTACCTACCTGTTTTCAGTTTATCTTCACTGCTGATCCTTTCAGAACCTCCTGTGGTATCTTTGGACCCAGAGGCTGCGCTACCAAATAGCGTAAATGCGTCGTCCATTAACTCATTGAACCTCTGTCGCATGCGAGAAGGTCCAGTTTTGTGAGTCGAAGATGTAGACTTAGCGGGACTGCACGGCTTAGATGCTGGAATATAAGTCTAAGTTGCCAAAAAGAAATACTAACTTATTTTTACAAATGAAACAACACTTTATTAACGGGATTGTTACCATGTACCTTGTTTTTTATGAGTCTCCGATATATCGGCACTATTGCAAGCGCCATGATCACGGATTACCTTACTGAGGAGGAGCCTCATAAAAAGAAGGTACATGGTAACAATCCCGTTAATAGCTATAATGTTAATGACCATGAAAGTTTAAAACAAGAAACAACACTTGTGTTCGTTTTGGATTTCTATTCTCAAGCTAGATTCAGACTTAAAGAAACAGGATGTTCAGAGCAGTTGCTAAACTGATAGTACAAAATTATTTACGTCCACTATGTTCATAATAAGTGGGTACTTGTTGAGTCTGCCAAATACTATTTTAAAGACAGGTCCTTAAAATGGCGGATAACAATTTAGACTCAACCAACACCAAATATGGGCAAACTAAGTAATGAGATTGTCTGATAAACGATAAGAAAAGGCTGCGAAACGTCAATAAATAAATAAAGTTTCGTGCATTAACCCGTTAACACTACTTTTATTTAAACGATAAGATATTGTGATTATTTTCTTCATTATCATATATAACTTGAAATCTAAATCTGCCAATTCGATTCAAACGGCAGATACTGTAACCTTAGAAGATTTTATTACTTTCAATTTAATCGTACTTACCATCCTTAATCCGCTGGCAATGCAGATCCCACACTAAAGGCCCTATGACTCCTGGATCCTTGTCGATGCTGCCGAGCCTCACTAGCTGAGAAGGCATCTGTCTCCGAGGTATCACGTTTTTGTCCTTATCTTTATCTTTGGGCCGTTTAGGGCTCGATACTGGAGTCTCGATGTCCAAATGTCGAACCGACACTGGCTCCAGAATGCGTGATAGCGGTTCCACGATGTTCCCTCTATGAATAATACAATACAATACATAATACATTGAAAACACCACAACAAAGAACAGAAATGAGGTGAGTATTCTTTGGAATATATCTTTTAGTGCAGTTGGGTAGGTATTTTGATTGTTACTTGTCCTAATCACTGCCGGATTTAGGGGAGGGCAACCGGGGCGAAAGCCCCGGGGCCTCCACCAACGGGGGGCCCCCACAATAAAGACTTCGAAAAAAAAAACGAAATCATCAACGATTTTTTACTTTATTACTAAAATTGTTTACTTTATTTGGAAAATAATTTGGGGTGAGGGGGCCTCCGCTCCTCTGTTGCCCCGAGGCCTCTGGACCTCTAAATCCGGCCCTGGTCCTAATAAACCTTACGGATGTTTGATGTATTGTAACTATTTTAATTTACGGAAAGGTTCTAAAGGCGGAAAAAAGTAATCACAAAGTTCATACTTTAGAATTCCGTCATCACTAAGCTGTCTACATTCTATTCCAAATTTTATTTAGAGTCTTTGCCATTTCTCACCTTTCTATAAGAAGTCATCTTAAATTCCACTTTTTGCTTTAATATCATTGACAAAGCCTATCCAATAACCATATATTGCCCAGTTTCGACATTATTACGAGTATTAATCCTGTATTATCACTTCATTAGTGTAAATTTAAAATTATCCCCACTTGTAACAACACAGATCTTCCTTAACGGAGAATCCATCTATAAAGATCAATGCAAACAAACACTGGTAGGACAGGGCCCAGGGTGCTAAGGACTGTGTTCAACGTGCTGTCTGAACCACTAATTCCATCGCAGAAGAATTATATAGTACTAAGTACTAATGGTACAAAATGGGCTATTTGATGACCTTCGTTGCTCAAGAGGTATGTACGCCGGGTTTCAAGGTGTCGCCTACTCAGAGGTCCCGGGTTATAATTCCGATGGGGCAAATAGTTGTGTGATGAATACGAGTATTTGTACCTAAGTCATGGATTGTTTACATCTATTTCTAAATAAAAATATAATTATATATATATTCTATTCGTTATCCCATAACAGAAAGCCTAAAGTCAGTGCTTATTTTGAGGCTAGGCTAATTGTGTGTGCGTTGGAAATATTTATCTATATTTTATTCATATGTGTGAGAACGTAAACTAGAGCAAGTCACCTCGGAAACGAGCTGATAGACGGCATCGAGAGGTATGATGTGGGAGTGTGTGGAGCCGACTGCTGGCTATCCGAGCTGTCCACACCGGCCGCTTCTAGAAGACTGTCAGTGGTGCCCACTGGATAGAAGAAAACCACATAAATGTAGGCAGTCATGAATAATGACGAAATTAAAATTGCCTAAGGGATCGTTCTAATTGGCAACGATTGAACGATGACATGATACGATCTCATCGTGCGATGAAAATAATGGACCTGTGTTCGTGTGACGGCTAACGAGCTGTATTAGAACCCTTTTGAAGAAATCTTTATGTTTGAACTCATCGTATGACGAGACCGTATTGTGTTATCGTAAGATCGTTGCTAAATAGAAAGACGTCTTACGGTTGCACTTGAGATGTGAATTAAATTCAAAATATGATTATTGCTGATGCTATCCCATCTTCTAAGGTAACAAAGCAATATAATATATAAAGTCACATAGAGAGGCATTAATGATTAAACTGTACTTTCTGGGCCAGGAGTTGAAACATCACTAAGGTTAGTGTTGTGACCATTATGGCCCGAAAAAAACTTCGTTAATAGTTAAACCTTTTCAGAAACAAAAAAATAAGAAGTGACTAATTCTGGGCCCAGAAAGTACAATTTATAATAGCATGATGCTATGGTACGCATTAATTTACGCCTCTGATTTTTAGCTCAGGATGTGCGTTGGCTAGATCAGTTTCTTCAAAAATGGTGTTAAAATGCAATTTTCTATTGTTTATGAAGACATAATCAGCGCTATTAGGCGTATCATCTTCTAAAAGACCAAATTCAACCTTTAGCTAGTTAGACTTAAAATTAATAATTTCTTAGCAATAAGTGTACTATTGAGTTACTTATATAAGAAAATCCATCTACTCTTTCATCCAATCTCTAAATATCCGTAAGTTCAGATAATGATTCACGCAAAACAGGCACCATGTCGACTTTGAGTTGCGGAAAGCCCCGTTGCAAGAAGAAGAAGAAGATGTTAGATGGACAAACCTCGTTTCTTCTGTGGCATTCTAAGAGCATGTGGTTTCTTCTGTCGTCTCCTCAATGCCGCCGCGACTTCAGAAACTCCTGATGAACTCGACGAACTGAAATCGAAGGTATACTTGGTCTAGACTCTTGGTCCGTGGGGTCCTAGCGCTATAAAGCTTTTTAAGGAAATAGCAAAAAGGTTAGTCGACATCACAGGAAACCGAAGAGCTGGCAGCTACCTCGGACAAAGAATTAGTCGGTTCAAAGGGGGAACGCTGCCAGTATTTTCGGAACCTTGCCTAAAGGGTCTCCATTTAATAATATATTTTAGGTACTATATTTTATTTTTTAAGGTTTTTAGTTTTAGGTTCATTGTTCTAGTATATATTTTTTTGTGGATATAAAGTACTTTATATAGCCTTGGTCTAGATCTATATTAATCGATTGTTGATTTTTGTAGTAAGGTTTACATTTCAAATACCTGGAAGCACTGGCTGCTCTGTAGATCGGCAGCAGAGTACTGCTGGGTCTTGTGCGGCTTGGTGAAACAACGCTGATCAACTGAGGATGAAATATTCGGTAACAATTTTGTAAATTTTAACGCTTATGTTCATAGGGATTGCAATTACAATAGTTTGGGAGTCATCATCTAGTTAGTCAGCTGACAAAACAAAAGTTTTTGCATGTCAATTGTTGGTAGCTTCATTATATATTTCTATAGGAGTATCATATTTTGAAAGTATTTTTTTTTAAATTGAGCCATTTTATGGTAACATTTTGATATTTTTTTTTGGTAGTTGACAGTACTGTACATTTGAGACTCGCAAACGATTCTAATTCGATAATGGTTCGTGCTAGGGGTACTGGTGTAGTGCAGTTGTACGGGTAACACTTACCCTTCCATCTTTTTCTTCGTGTACTTGCTTTAATTGGTTTCGTTCAGCCTCTCTCAACAGTTCATTTCTATAGGCTCGTAAAGATGCTGCAGATTTCATAGATTTTCTCCTGTACACAATATCACGTTGTTTTGTTTTAGTAATTACTAGAGGCCGCCCGCGACTTCGTACGCGTGGATTACTCTACTTAGAAATAAAGGTTCACTGCTCGTTCCCCGTAGGTGATAGCGTGATAATATGTAGCCTTTATGTTGACCCGACTTCTTAATAATATTCGTGCTAAATTTGAAGTAAATCCATGCAGTACTTTTTGAGTTTATCCCGGACATACATACAGACAAACAGACAAAAAATATAAAAACTATATTTTTGGCTTCGGTATCGATTGTAGATCACACCCCAAGTATTCTTTGAAAAAAAATATTCGATGTACAGTTTTGACTTTCCTACCATTTAATTATATATATAGATTAGGATCGCCAAAACCTTTTTGTAATTTAAACGTGACATAGAATTTTATTATTATCATGAAAACATGCAATACAAAGTTCATGCTGTGAAACTGATATTTGTAACACATACATTTTTGTGATTATGAAAAGAGCAATAAGTGAATATGAGTCACCAAACCCTGATTGCATTAGTTTACATGGTTCAGTAAGATTTGTATTTAGTATCTTGGTTGATAAAGACGCTGATCAAATTATAAAATGAGATGGGATTGGTTCTGATTTTGGCATGATTCTCTAAACCAAAGCTTGTAAAATTTTCTTTAAAAACAAAGAATCATGCTAGTATATTATTATGAGATCGATTATAAGTCTGTGAAAACTTTACACACTTAGACTTACCTATGCGCCAAGCAAAGGAGTGCGAACAAAATGAGCAGAAGCAGCAGAGCCACAGTAGCACCCACAGCTAGGGCCCATAGCTCTGTACCGTGCACTCCCGACTTGGTCTCTGCCTGCCCTTCTAGACCCTCGGCAGCCTTCAGGTACGCTGCTGACAAAACCGGACAGTTGTGTCGTAATTTTAGTTTTGATACAATAGACTGAGTTAGCATTTCCACAATTAAATTATTCTTCCACAATATTTTCTTAATTATGTCGCCGATAATCAAGAAGTAAGACAAGTATGACCTAATTTATAAGTGCTGTTTGCAGCCTAAGAAATACTAGAGGAAATTCGACACGGCCATTTAGGTCGCGGTAGCATAATAGGTCAGTGCATCCGCCCGGATAGCGGAAGGTGCAGATCGAGTCCCGTCTGCTGCCAGGACCGCGTGGAAATATTTCTATTAAAATTTTCTTCAGATTTATTTATAAAAATTAAATATTGGTTTCCTGACAGTCTTTATTCATCTAAACTTAGCCTAAACCAATCGAAGTTACGGTTACTCTCTACTTTTGTTTTTGTTCAGAATGCTTACTAATCCCGACCTTATCAAATGTTAGGAATGAGTAGTGTTTAAATATTATGATAGCTTCATGTACATCAGAGACACGTGCAGTAACCTTGCCTACCAAAACCCTATTCCTCTTGTGTGGGACTTTACCAAAAGTTGGTACTTACTTACTTTATTGTTTTAAACTTTCATGCTAACTACCATGTACCTTGTTTTTTGAGTGTGTAACATCTTTTCTCTCGCTTTCCTGCAACTTGTGGGAGTGATTTCGTGAAATGGGACGGAAGTGTGTAACAGGAAGTCGCGAAAGCGCGCGCTATTTGATTTGATTTTAGAACATAATGTTCAAATGTCTTATTCCTTTTGATGTGTAACATCTTTCCTCCCGCTTTCCTGCAATTTGTGGGAGTGATTTCGTGAAATGGGACGGAAATGTGTAACAGGAAGTCGCGAAAGCGCACGCTATTTGATTTGGCTTTAGAACATAATATTCAAATGGCTTATTCCTTTTGTAGTAGGTTTTATTTCTTTTTTTACCATAGGGTGAGGTTTCAAATGTTACACATCACACGCGACTACTGTAAGGCTCGCTCGTTTTTTTTTGTGAGTCTCCTGTGTTTCTTTTGACACTCTTGCAACTGTTATGATCACGGAGTAACTGGTACTAGAACATAGACAAGTTGAACAACACGTTAGAGCAAACAAGTCTTATTAGCACTCACGTTCGGCCTTCGTGGTGACGACTGCTCCCAGTTCCGTGGCCACCTCAGCATCCCGCACTAACCGCATATCTCTTGCCGCCACAGCCGCCGGCACCGCTCGCCCGCCCACCAAAACCACGTACACTATCTGCACGCTGCCCGTTTCAGGAGACTGTTCACACGATCCGTGCATTAATTCGAGTGCTTCCAATAATGAGCAGGCCACAGATTCTTTCTTACTAGGAATACGAATTATGTTCATATTGCGAACGAACGCTTCAGTGAATGACGAAACAAAACTAGCTCTCCATGTGGCCTGCGCTTAAGTTTTTAGACAGTGCTGCTACTCTTGCGGACAGAGGTTTTACAGTGTTATTTAAATATAACAACATATAACTATTCGGTGTTTAGTGAGTTTAAGATAACTTTGTTCGTTTCGGTTCGTTTTCATTTACGCATTATTGTGTAGTGTCTCACAGGATAAATAATGTAACTGTAAAAACCTATCAAGAACTTTAAACAAAACCATCTCAAATCTCTATTCTCAAATGGGCTTACCTCAGTTATATTCTGAATATGAACTTGCACTGGAGGCTGTTGCTCTGGCTTAATAATTTCCCTCTTGAATAGCATTGTCTCATTGCTGGAATCTGTTTCTAATAGATTATCTAGATCTTCTTTCTTGTCATCATTTTTATGATCTCTGATTTCTCTTTTACGTATCACCATTGTTGGTGCTGCCAAAATCCATGACTCAACATCGCTTATTCTTGTAGCTTTTATTTCTGCCATCATTGATGATGGATCTACATTATCAATTCGAATTAGTTCTTCATTTGGGTATGCTTTTAACATTATACTATTTGGTGAATGAAAAGAGACGGTATTCAAATCGTTCGTTGGTATGCTACTAACTGATTCCACACGAGTCGTAGAACTAACAATATTAACGTATTTAAAAGGTGAGTCGGGACTATATGAGGCTATTTGATCAATGCTATTCTCTTTGTTAACAATGAAAGAATGGACATCATGTTTCCGTCTCGATGTTGGTGCATCTAATGATTTAATTATACCCAAGTGTCGTTCCTGCTGTCTGAAAATTTATTAGAATGAAAATTTGTAATAAGCAAACAAATCCAACGCTCGTCCAAAGTTTTAATTATTTTACCTTAAAAATGCTTTCTGATATAACCTCGCCAACTTCACCTGTAAACTATCTGGCGTAGAGCCTTGTATTACAGTGAGAAGCCAGTATCTGCGATCTTCTGGGATCTCTGGTTCCAAACTATCGGGGTTAACTGGCTCGCCACAGTTCAGTACACATTCTCCTGTAGTCTTGTCTGTCACCGCCTAAGTAAACATTTTTTTGACTGAAGAAAAAAAGACTGAAATGCACAGAATTCGAGTAGTTTAAATAAAAAAGAAGGATTTAGGCTTTAGTGCTATGAATAGATGAAATTTTGCTACTCTTCTTCAAATTGTTATCTTGACGACATTACACTTATCTTGTTGTATATTCTGACCAAGATGTGAAGAATCATTGTTAAAAATAAAATAAAAACCTGTGCAGGGTAAGAATCGAGGTACACAGTAGCCAGCACCGTAGTGGTGTGAACAAGAGGCGTGGATGGCTGCGCTGGAGTAGCCAACGGAGGATCTGGAGGCGGTGGTGGGCCGTCCCCTGATCCGGTCCAGAAGAAGTCTTCTAGGCGGGGTGTCTGCTCGTGCTGATCTCGGGAAACGAGCATGTAAACTGAGGAAACACATAATATACACAAGATGATAATCTGATGCCTTTTTTTTAGAGACCTCTGCCTGCACAACTGATTATTACGATGACATGTTCGGTGACTGCGAATTCACGCACAGTATCTACGCAAGTGTTTTTTGAAGTGAATTAAAATAAATTATTATTCTAAAGAAAATATAACTAGAAAAAAATCCACGCGGACCAGGCAGCAGACGGAACTTGCGTCGAAAGCTGCAAGGCAGCGCCATCTCTTCACATTATAGGTCAAGTGAATACTTTTACAAGTATTAAACATTTTTAAGAAGAGATAGCAATTACAGTTTTTTTTTGTAAAAGTATTCATTTGACATTGTGGGTTACCTATATTGCGAAGAGATGGCGGTGCCTTGCAGCTTAAGAATGGCTAGAAGAATTTCAACGCGGCCATCGGGGCCGCAGTAGTATAATTGGTCAGTGCATTCGCCCGGATTGCGAAGGGTGCGGGTTCGAGTCCCGTCTGCTGCCTGTTCGGCGTGGATTTTTTTCTAGTTATATTTTCTTTAGATTTAAACATCAAGCAGTTACATGCTTAAAAACATAATAATATACAAATTATTATTATCAGTGTTTTGAACACACACATACTACGAGTATACATCAATACGGTTTCATAATCACACTTGTGTCATGTCAACAAGCCAACTAGCTGAAAAACTGTTTTTCAACTTCTACATTTGATTTGATTAGTGTGCTGAAACATTCTTAAATGTATGACGACCTTTATTAGTGATAGCTTTGTTAATTTTTAAGTTTCTGTAACTACGACTTCAGTAAGTAGTGCAACCGAAAGTGATTGATGTTTATATCATTTTCTCCAATTGCTCCTGAAATGACCTGTTTTTATACTCCACCCTACCTGAAGGGAAATGTAAGTTAAGTTCAGTTTAGAAGATTGCAATAGGCCATTCCATAGGGTATAGCACCTATCCCGTGCAGCCATGGAACAATAGAAACACCCACAACACCCTTCAAGTATCTACTCAAAGACAACACCGTCAGAAGGTAGTTTGATATTTGACTTAATCATCAGTAAGGTGGATATGACTTCTCTCGAAAATGTTGATCATGATAAGAGATAGGAAACGAAGCACCCCTTCACAATTCATATTTAAATTATGTTATAATTGATCCACACGCTACGAAAAGCATGCGCTTCTGTTGTGTGTAGTTTAATTGTTCGTGCGTTAAGGGTTCTTGAGTGGTTTATAATAGAATGAGTGGAGAATTTTGAATTTAAAGAAAGATTTTTTTTTCTTCTCATAATGGTACAATTTCACCTGCCTTGGTCCCAAGCTAGGCTGTAGATGTAGCACTTGTGCTTGAATAACGAGAAACATCGAAAATATCACAATCATCTAAACTCGGGACAATATAGATTATTCCATTTTCTGCATCGAGTAAACCAAGAGTCGAACCCAGGATCTCAGAGATAGCTCCACGCAAAAGTTCTCCATGCCTTTAATTAGGTTCTGTAAGTCGTCATAGTCGTTTTCTAAATACTCGTAGTTAGTCCTATCAATCTGCATTGGACCTTCTTAGCGGGTATGGCCCCCTGAATATCATTATATGCAGAAAAACTTGTGCCCTAGCAATATTAAACAGACAAATTAATAAAGACGATTATTTGGGCATGCAAAAATTAGCAAAAAAACTTGTATATATGCTGAGGTATATGCATCACATTGATACAAAAGTCAGTGACAGGTTAATAAACATTTCCTGTTTCAGTATCGCGTGATCTTCAGAATAAAATGGTTTATTGGCCTTTGATGTAACTTCTAGTAACAACGGTTTTATGTCATGGTCCAAGTTATTGACTTCAGTAGTGACTGATTCGGAATACAATTAAAACCACGGTATGTGCAGCGATATACGATCGAGCCAGCGTTCTATTACTATTTGCATTTACTTTAACTAGTACCTACATACTATTTTTTAAGAAATAAGTAGGCTAAATGGCATATAAGTAGTTCGTAAAAAACTTAACGCTCTAGGTATATTGAGAGTCAGATGACAGACCGTCAAAGGTGCATGTTGTATGTATGCAAAATATGATTATGCATTGCTACAATTTAACGATGTCACCTCACACATTTTTAACATTTAGCTAAAATTTGAAATTGTTGCAAGGTAAAATCTGGGTAATGACTTCTGGGCTATGTTTTTGATCATTCCCATTAAAAATGTATTTCATGCATGAACTATTTTAAAATTACTTTTTGCAATGTGAAATATAATAAATCGCCAACGCTTGTTAACTACACTGCGGTGTTCCTCAGGGATGTATCCTCGCGCCACTCCGTACCAACCACGGGGTTTGGTACTATAAGGAACGCATTTCCTGTTGCCTATATCTAACATAACTAGAGAAGCTACGATCCTTCATATTTTACTGTCAATATTGTTATTTCCGGTTACTGAATGACCTGTGAGTATTTTAATGAACAATTCAATGAGCAATCATTGGAGTTCGGGAATATAATTCGTTTACTATAATCGTCACTTAGATTGATGATGTAGAAAGGTTTTATAGAACACACACACAGTGTATTCATATAGCACTTGCAGAGACTGGTTGGCAGAACGTCAAAGGTGCGACACCGACACGTATCTAATCAACGAGAGAATGACAAAACTTTATCCAGTAAGATTTCTGGGGCTTCACGGGGTTGAGATTAGAGTCGGAATAGACAACGCTTGAGAATCATTTCACTGACTGAATTACATTCGTAAGTACATACATAATTTCTCTGCCATACAAAATATTATGTTACCATATCCATATGTTCCGGATGGCTATAATTAAATTAAAATTAAACTCATTAGCCATTCGAAACATCTAGAAAACCGTTTTTTCTTCTATCAGATCTAAATGGGATCATTATCCATAATTTCCATTATATTTCAATAGACTGAGAACTTGTTAAGTTTACTTGCTACCGCTGGACTAATTTATGAACGTAATTCCGGTAATTCGTATGCGTGTCGTTCTAATGCCAGATTATCCTATTATATTCATATAATAACTAAAAAGAAGCGAATCTCAAGCGATTTTTATTCTGGCCATCGTATCAAAAATTCTCCTTTGAAACCTTCAAGGCTGGGTCTAAGTTGTCGTAGCTAAGTTAGTAAAACAGCGAAACTTACATAAGACACGGTAAGACACAGACTTTATTACAAACTTCATCAGAGTTTATGAGGACGCCAGCATATACCAAATACGATATGCTGCGAAATGCTCACTAACTGACGGTCGACATGTAAATAGGTATACAAGCGATACTAATAAAATTATCTGTTGTATCTTTTTTTTAAGACAGAGTAGTAGAAATTCCGTTATCCCAAATTAAAACATTTTAGCTTGATACCTACTTACTGAGTAGTATTTTATTCTGTGTAAAAAGTAGTAACTATTAGTTCCCCATGCCGAATTAGAAACGAATGTTTTTTTTTCTAAACGTTTTATGTCGTTATTACAGTCAAAGATTGCCCCAATATCCAATCAATGCTAAATCCCGAGAGTCGACAAATCTAAACATTTCGGCGATTCCTATAGTTTTAATTAGTACCTAAGTAATTGTTTTCCACTAGAATCATCATATTTTTACAAGTCCAATTAGTAAAAGTGTGCTTACTAGATGTGATTTTATACTCTTTATTAAAATGAGCTGTTTGAAGAAACGGTAATCTAAGCGTTATCATCATCATCAGCCTATTAATGTCCCCACTGCTGGGGCACAGGCTTTCCCTATGGATGGAATAGCGAGATTGTGCCATGAACCACCAAGCCGGCCCAGTGCGGATTGGCGAGTGCTTACGACTGCAGAAACAGCCGGGACCAACGGCTTAACGTGCCCTCCGAAGCACGGAGGAACTCGAGATAATAGATTTTGGGTCGCCCATCCAATGATCGACCACTGCGAAAGTTGCTTAACTTCAATGTTCGCAGCCGACGCGCTAACCACCCGCGCCATCGAGCTAAACAAACTAAGCGTATCGGATCTAAACAAATACCTAGTCCGGTCCGTTTTCAAAGACTTGCATGTTCAGCAATTATAGGCTGCATGAAATCCACACCGACAAACGCCCTAGAAATAGCGCTAGACCTATTGCCACTTGATCTGTTCATACAGCAAGAGGCAACAATGGCAGCGCTAAGAATGTACCATCTGGGCCTATGGACGGGATACCAGGGACCTCACTCCAAGATTTTGGTAAGGGCTATACAACACCAACCCCTTGTAATAGCCCGCTGTGACAAAATCCCGACTATACACACATTTGATAAGAAATATCAAATAGAATTACAGGAAGCCAACAAGGACTGGTCCGGCACAGACGAAATGCGCATATACACTGACGGATCCAAAATACCAGGATCCGGATCAGGCGCTGGAGTATTCTCCCTAGACCTTAACATCCATATATCAACGGCACTGGGTACTCACAGCTCAATATTCCAATGTGAATGTATAGCTATTACTCAGGCCGCCACCGCCGTCATCAACAGGAAAGTCACGAACTATAAGATACGCATAATATCTGATAGTATGGCTGTCCTAAGAGCCCTAGACAGTAACAGCAAAACGTCTGGGCTAGTATACGAATGTCACCTAACATTGGAGCGAATAGCAAGAGAGAACAAGGTTATCCTCCAATGGATCAAGGGACACAGCGGCTCTATGGGGAATGACGCAGCCGATGTACTGGCTAAAAGGGGATCAGCACATATAGTGGAAGGCCCTGAGCCGCTCCTGCCGTTACCCTTAAACCAAATTCGTGCATGGGTGCGCCAGCAAACCATACAGAGCCATAACTCCCGCTGGGCCAACACCGAGGGCTGCAGGCAATCTAAGGCTATCTTCCCTAGCCTCAACCCAAGACTAACTAGAAAACTACTAAATTTCAACCGAACTGATCTCCGAGTAATGCTGGGCACTATAACAGGGCATTGCCTGCTAAATAAGCATTTACTAACCATACGTGTTACAGATAGTTCTCTATGCAGAGGATGTCTAGAAGCAGATGAAACGGCCGCTCATGTGATCCTGGAGTATCAATCCTTGGGACGCCGAGGACGCTCCTAGAAGCCTGTGAGAGTCCCAGGAGACTACTGCGCTTCTGGAAGGAGCTGGGCTGGCTGAGCTAGCTAGCCCAATCAACCCTGCACGCACAATGGACCAATTATGAGTCTACGTGCGGAAACGGGGGCCTACAACAAGTAACAAGTAACCTAGTCCGGTCATAAATTCTGTCACATGTTTAATATAAAATAATTGAAACAAGTTTATTCATTTTGTAACCATTTATATACCAAAATGAACTTAACAAAACAAAGATTCTTATGGCAATAAAGTTTATTCAAAATGACCTCCGTGATTTTGAATACAGGCCTTCAATCTGCGTGGCCAGTCGTCTATCGCAGCACGAACGAGGTCCATGTCAATATCGGCGGTTGCCTTAATCAAGGATGTCTTGAGTGACTCCAAATTGGGATGAGGTTTTGAGCACGCCTTTTCCTCCAAGTGTTGTCATATCTTGTAATCTAACGGACTCAAATCTGGACTGGAGGTGGGCTAGTCTTCATGCTGGATGAAGTCGATTTCACGCGCCGCCAGCCAGTCTTGTGTGCTCTTCGCTCTATGAGCTGGCGCCGAATCTTGTTGGAATTCCAGTGCCTGTTATTGAACATGGTATGAGGAACAGGTTCCACAAGGTTCCTCAGGACTGTATTTTGAAACACAACACCTTTCTCATAAAAATGTACCTCTGTTAAGCCCCAATAAGAAACTCCCAACCATACCATGAGCGAGGATGGAAAATGACCTCGTTGGACACGCGGAATACGGTTGCTCGCTTCTTCACTACTGTGTGCGTACACCATATCATTTTGTTTGTTGTAGCTCTCTTCTACGGTAAAATTTTTTTCATCCGAAAAAATAATTTCCCGATATTTTTTTCCCGCGTACCGCTTCAACAAAGTGCGGCATCTCTTAAGTCTCAGGTCCATTAGACGAGCATTCAAACGATGTCCTGTTTTTCTTCGATATGTCCGAAGCCCTAAGTCTTCATTTAACACCCTTTTCACCGTGGTTCTGCTTAACCCCATCTGAAGTGCCAACAGTTTCTGTTTACGTTTGGGATTTCTTTGAATTCGCGTCTTCACAGGTTTATCACTGCTGGAGTCCTAACAGACCGAGGGCGACCACTTCTTGACCTGTCATCTACACTAGAGTCTTCATTGTATCGTTTGATGGTACGATAAACGAATCTTTTGGTTATATTATAATTAAAACCTTATTGGAGTGCCCGGCCTGGCGACACCAGCGCCGCGAGCTTATTGCGACGCGGGGATGCGGAGCCCTCTCGCTGCGGTGTATGGTGGAGGCCATGCTCCGCAGCGAGAGGGCGTGGGAGGCAGTCGCCTCCTTCTGCGAGAACGCTATCTCGCAGAAGGAGGCGGCTGAGAGGGAGCGGGAGGATGATCCTCTGGCCGCTCCCTCCCGCCAAAGGAGGACGGGTAGGAGAGGACGTCGACGCGCCCTGGCTGCGCCCGTCCTATGACCCTACCCGGGGAGTCCCTCGCTGACCGGCATAGCGACAGCTGTGCCGGCCACCGACGGACCCCGTGACGGCAGCCCCCCCTTGTAGTTCTGACATGCGAAGAGGGGGGCGGCGGAGGGAGCTACATGAGCACGCCCAAGTAGCCCTCCGCAGCGGCCGGGGGGCGGTACGGTGGGCACTAGGACACGTACTCAGCCCCCACGCGCGGGCCATCCTACGCACGTCTGCGGGGTCCCCGCGATACCCCAGGAGACCCCTGCCGCGGAGCCCCGGCAAGGCCGGGAGGCTGCTAGGTGCGGAGACGCGGAAGAATCCCTAAACGGGGATCCCGCGGCTTCGCGCTAAGCAGCTTAGAGGGTGTTCGCAGAGTTTTTAGCGGATATTATGCCGTAAAGCGCCCGTAAGGGTTACGGGGCCCTCAGTGGGCAGCCACTGTTAGGGCTCGTAAGGCTTGCGGGAGCCAGGTGTGAGGTCCGTTCGGCGGTGTGCCTCTTAAAGGCGCCGTCGTCTGTAAATAGTATTTTTTGCCTGCGTATAAAAAAAAGGAGGTACGCTCTTTATTTTAAGATTTTCGGGTTGTACTAGTCCGAAAACTCTGCTGGCGATAATGTTTTCCATCGTAGTCATAACTTTTTTTTTATAACGCAGGTAAAAAATCTTTGGTAAAAAATTGACAAATCTTACCGTTATGGACAGCCACGCAGCAAGGTGATGGGGGCGAAATTTTTATACCGATGTACGATGGCGAAAAGCAGCAGCTGGGATTAATCCGAACAATTCTTCAGAACACTCAGAACACTTAATGGAATAGAAGATGATGCAGAGTGGAGCTGCAGCTTCATAAATTCAAATACATACGCAAAGCTTTCTCGTTTATCCAACCATGCTGGGTGGTCGTAGGTAGGATATTTTCAAGTCTGAACAGCCTTCATGTCATGTATGTGTCTCTCTTTCTAATACCAACTGTAATTGAATGTCGGTGAATCACATAGCCAGGAAGCTCATTGGTAGCGAGATAATATCGAAGTTGTTGTTGGTTATTTGCAGGCTGTTTGGCTAGTTTGCAAGAGCTCCGTAAGCTAATTCCATCATTACCTTTCTTCTTTCAGGAGCTTAGGTACACTACAGGTTATCACTGCCGTTATAGCGTACTATCGACTTGGGGCACCTACTGTCGATTCATTAACCTGTCGATGGAGCGTTTTCGATACAGTGACTGTCGATATTAGCAGCTATTTCGTTTATTTTTCAGGTGGCGGGGTATTTCTTCTGAAAATCTTGTTGACTTATAGGGACGAATGATATTCTATGTAGTGTATCAACAAATATCTTAAAAAATAAATAACGCAAAATCTTAATTTAGGATTTCGTCATTTCGGTCCACACATTCTCTTCGTTACCAGGTTTTGTATGACGTGATAGTATAAAAAACCATATAATAGGGCCTGTAATGGAGGTGGTTTCACGGAGACACTGCGCCCGCGCAACCATTGTGTGACACCGGACGTCCACATATGTACAGATCAAACAAGTAGATTACATATCCTAATTACAAGAGGATAAGGTTCACAATTTGTGTGGTTAACGTGTGTAGTTAAAATATGTGCACCGAACCATGATGATGACCCTTACCTCATATTGATAAACAGTAATTATTCCAGTATTTTTAGGACAATCTTTTGTTTTCATATTCACTATGGGTAGAAGTAGCCAGTAGATATATGGTTAAATAAATACTCATATTTATGAATCAAAATTGTACTAATCCATATGTAATAAATACTGTAAAGACGAAGGAAATCAGAAACATGCATTAACTATCAAAAGTCAAGAAAATATCACATTTTTATAATAAATTTTAGATTCATACTAAAATTCTTTAAAATGTGTTGTGACCGAGAATCAAATCCGTAATGCCAGAAGTGTGTTATTAATAATAAGCCTGGCGCGCATTATCATAATACATAACAGTACGAAACAAAAATATGTTTTATTTAAAAATATTTTTATTTAATAAATTATTTTTACAGATATGTAGAAGTGCTCCTGAGTCACCAGCCAGGTTTAATTAGTTATTCTATTGTTTTCATTTAAATATCGAATTTACTGTAAAAACTAAATTTCTAATGAAAATTAGCTAATGACATACTACTTAAGTACAAACTTTGCACTTAAATTCAGGTCCGTGTTTAACCTTTATAAAGTTTAGTTATTAGGTATATCTATCAAAAAACAAATAGGAATTTCATTAATACAACTTACTTTTATCGTCGTTTTCATAGTCCTCTGCATTCACGTAATAAATTATAAAATAAAACATGATTATTTTAATATTTAACATAGCTAAATTAATATTGTATAATTTCGTATTATATAAAATTATGGGGTACGACTAGTACAAAATTCAAACATTCACGTGGAAACACGAGATTTTTCTACAAAATATTAGTAAGGCACTGTGTTTTGAGCATTGTGAATCCGCGTAAAAGGTAAATAAAACTAATGTGGCCGTACGAGACCAGCCATCTAGGATATTAGTTCAGATACTACTACAGTACATTACTGGGTTGTTAAAACGTTGCCTAGCAACAAAATTGAATTTAGGCGCGCATTGCGCGCAGTCCGCCATTTTTATGAAATAAATGTAGGGCTGTGGTTACGATTTAAGCTTCTGGATAAGTTACATAGACGTTTATGACGTGTATTGATTTATGTATATTTTAATTACCAATCATCACATGTCATTTTAACTTCATAAGCTAAAAGCAGATTGTATGTAGATAAATAAATGAATTTAATTATTGAAACAAGACAATCTTTTATTTTTAATGGGAAAATGTACCTAGGTTTCAAATATTGCGATAACAAGTATCTTTTGACAATTTAAATCTTAATAAAATAAAATAAAATATAAATTAATTGAGACTTTTATATTATATATTTAAATGACGATAAATACATTAAAACAAAAAGTATAAAAATTTTGAATAAAAGACTAGTAAAATCTGCTTTTACCGTGAAATACAATGCGATTCAACTAAGAATGGGACCGACTCGACTGGGTGCCATATTGTGACGTCATTGCTGTCAATTCAAACAAAATAGGTTTAGTGAGCAAAAAACAGTTTCTATTTAATAAAACTTATTTACTAAGATTAAGTGAAAAAAACATCAGTTTTTTTTTAATATAGTTTATTTACTAATATTGAGAAAACATACAACTGATTTTTAATAATATTTATTTAATAAGACTGTGTGAGAATCTACCTCTTAAATTCCGCCCATCTCTGCATTACCGCCGGAGTAGTTATGAGTAATCATGCACTATTACTAGTTCACATACGAACATGCATCCTATAAGTAAACGAAAGTTTTAAATCGAGTTTATGGACGCAACTTAAAGTGACATTTGGTTGACGATTTAGGTTATCAATCATTCATGGCCAAAGCTCATTAAGTAGAAAAAATCTCTACCGATATTAATTATCAATATTTGTTATTGTTCGTTTACAAATGTTTGGATTTTATTCTAGAATTAGCCGAGTGCTGAAAAAGAGTTCAAAGATTTTTTTGCAAACCGTACTATTCAAGCGACATTTGACAGATGGAGGTCATTGGCTTTTTCCTATTCTTATTTGAATCGCACTATACTTAAGTTATAGTAAAGTTGAAAGTATGGGAATATTTTCTTTGGTTCACGTGCATACCATTTTCTTTAGATATAGATGGTTATGGAGAGATTCTTCATCACCATCTCTGAAAATAGATCATTTACAAACGAATATTTTATATATCACTTATTAAAAATTAATATAAATAAATATTTTCGTTTTCATTATTTGTTATGGAAACCAGCTAATAAAAAAAAAGGTATATTATATTAACCAGTTCGGGAGATGTAAATAGTACCGGTTTTCAATAGCCACAGTACGTATTTTGATTTGAAAACTCCATTGTACTAAACTTACAAAACTAAAATTACCGTGATAACATCACAAATGCTATAATTGGCGACCCAACTTTACCAGGCAACTGTAGACAAACATTGGTGTCGATTCGGGCATGATTCTCTCCTTCTCATTCTGTTTATGGAATGACAAAGATAAACTGCTGTCAAATTTAAGTTTAGGTTCAGGGAATCATGTCAGAATCGACACCATACTTTTCTTTTACATTTTGAATGTCCCCCATTAAGCAAAGGATACTAACTCCATACAGTATGCGGGTGCGACGCATGTTTGGCACAATTTTTTATTATATATGATAGATATATAATTAAAATTTATTGAGTCAGCTTTTTTGATAAGCTTCTGTGAACTGTGAGGTAATCAGCATTACAAAGTATACACATCCCCTTGACCGAATTAACGAATCATTACTTCATTCCTCTATCATAATACCACTTGATCCGTCAGATTAGTTAACGTGTTAGAGAGACGAAGAAGAAGTCAGAGTGAAAAACATCCGGAGGAGCACGGAACGTAGCCTATTCTTCCATTATCAATGGAATAGATACATGTATCATACAGTCTAATCTTCCGCTATATTTTGTATTTGCGCACTAACGCAATCTTTTATAGAAGTAGGTATAAATAAGCATATTATTAATAAATAATATCCGTTATGTTGATACATGGTTAGTTTAATATAGGTATTTTATTCGAATTTCTGTGTGAATCTGAAATGTGAATACTGAGTTGACACTTTACTTTAGGTCTGACAAGCTCGTGACGTTCACTCGTTCCGTTTTAGTGATACCAGTATGGGGTATTAATACACCATTTTGGCGGAAAATTTAGGTCTTGGCGAGTTTCGGGTGGAATAAATTGCTTGATGGATTAGTTGGCGGAAATAAATTGAACTTAGTGATTTTCTGGCGATAAGGGTAGTAAAAGAAATATAGTTGGAGAAGCCTCAAAATTGAATTAATACCATGTGACATGATCTTGCTATTTACCACATCTTGCCATTCTTAATTCGAATATTATTCTGTGGTCATTGTACATGGTAGATTAGATAGTCAATAAGTTCGCACTTATGTAAAAACTCAAATGAGTATATTACACCATAATTATGTACTTTGTAATGTATCTGTATGATCATAATGAATAAAATAAATAAAAAAGTCACTCATCCATATGCAAAGTTCTCCGTTCTTCGAACTCTATACTTTTGACAACCTCCGTGGCCGAGTAGTTTATACACCGGGTTTCAAGGTGCCTACTCGAGAGGTCCTGGGTTCAAATCCCGGTGGGAGCAGAAGATTGTGTGATGAATACGAGCATTTTTACTCCAGTCATGGATGTTTAATATGTATTTCTTAAATAAACTTATATGTACAGTATATGTATTCTATCCATTATCCCAGTATCCTTTAACACAAGCCATACAGTGCTTACTTTGGGGCTAGGCGTTTTGTGTTTTTGTAATTGTTGGAAATATAATATATATTTAAATCTAAAGATTTTGATTTGTGATAAAATTCACAAAAAAATCCACGCGGACGAGGCAGCATACGGGTCTCGAACCCGTACCCTTCGCTATACGGGCGAATGCGCTGAGCACTATGCTATCGCGGCCCTGACGGCGGCGTCTAATTTTCCCTAGACTTACTTAAGCTGCAAGGCAGCACCATATCTTCGCATTGTAGGTAACACACAATGTCAAATGAATACCTTTACAAGTATTAAACATGTGAAAGAAGAAATAGTGATGCGGCCGTCAGAGCCGCGGTAGCATAATGGTATAAGCAATCTACTACAAACTTCTTTCCAACCAAGTGTTCGACGACACTCACGATTTTTTTATTGCTATGATGGCGCGATATACAAACACACACACAGAGATAAGTCATGTTTCTTATTGTCCAACATGAGTGTCTCGCATCGAGTTACTGCCCTTCATAATGCAAGTATTACCTAGCATGAAAGTCAGGTGTCCTACTCAAAGAAGTGCAAATAGCAAACCATGCTCAGTGTATTTAATTTTATGCAGACGCATTTTGTCGCAATATTTATATAATAGGGCTTGATGAATAATAAATATAATTTATTTGAAAAGTATATGAAAAAAAACTCTATTTGGTAAATTTCAGCGAGTTTTCTGAACAGTGTCATTTTGTTAGGCGTAAATAATATTCAATCTGGCGGAAATTAGAATTACTTCTGGAAACCCTGTACCGTTCATTCTTTTTGTTGTTGAGAGTGAAGTAGTGAACTGAACTGCCTAGTTATTTTTCGTTCTCGTTCATCGGTCGTTTCCGTTCGACGAATTGAGTGCGACACGTAAAGCGGGTGTGTGCGAAAGTATGAAGTGAAATCGTACAAAAAGTGTGTGAAATGTTTAGTGTTAGTATAAATTGTGATTGTAATCCAAAATGAGTGCGAACGGATAGCTGTGGTTACTTTTTCGGTTGATGTAACACTGTTATAGTGGTCGTACACGTAACATTTTGTAGGAACAGTTTCAAAATGGCTGTGTTTTGAAGGACCCTTTGTCCGCTTTCGTGTTCTTCTTTCAGCATGATAGTGGGATCGTACTGTCACAATTTTGATTTTGAGAGGTGAGGAAGATGCTTTACTAAGTTGTAGTGGTCTTTGTGTAGAAAGGTGAAGAGGAAAATTACTGGTTCCCGCCGAAGAGCGGTGTCGGTCGATTGCTTTCTACGCAAGCGATACCAAACGTTATCTTGCAACGTGTGAGTTTCTAATAACCTTTTTATTTTAACGAGTAATTATGCATGTGAGTGGGCTGGCCGCTCACGGCTTGTTTAATTTTAGATTGGTGTTAATTTCCTGGCTGCTACGATATTTGTGAGCTCTTGTCATACCATGAAGTAAACATGATGACTTTGCTTATTTTTAGAAAACCTATTAGATCTAATTGGAATTTGAATTTAAAATGTGCTCACTGTACCTTGTAGGAACTTAATAATAGTCTTAATAAAAGCAATTGTTGTACTGTTTACTATTTTAATTATTTTCTTAATTTCTGATTAAAAAAAATATGAAGAGTAGTTTTTCTACCAGGAAAAATGAATCGAACTTCTTTACTATCGTGTGTATGAGTTAAGATTCCTGTCTAAAACAAATCTAAGGTATTTACCTCCCCAAATATCATAGTCAAGGAGTCCTATTATCTACTTATCTGCTAAAAGAAACAACCAATGGTTACGGTTTCATGGTATCTTGATTATAGTAAATCACTATATAATTATAAAGAAATGTAGATAGAAATTCAAAGAATATAATAATTCGCAAATGTATGTGCTTAGAAATTGTATAATTATTATTTTATAAGCAAATCACCTCACATTCCATTTGAGGCTTCACCTACATGGACTTCAGGTTTAAGCCCCTGTTTCAATCTATCAGGAGATAAAAGAAAACTAATGATATGTTATAAGTGTGATCAAATTTCTTACAGTCATCCAACAGAAATATTATGACTATTGGAAAAATATGTCTGTCTTGTTCTAAGTTGAATGTTTTTGGCAGTTTTAATGAAATCTAAAGTAAAACATTATTTTAAATGCATTTAAATATTTGTATGATTTAACTATAACTTTCAGATGAAATTTATCAATCAATCCCCAATGGTAATAAAGATTTAAACCATGTGTGCTCTAGGTGTAGGCTTGCTAGCTTGTTACAAGACTACCAACATGGGGTGTAATGTTTTCAAGGTTCATGTGTGTATGCATGTGTATATTTCTTTAATCCACAAATTGAATTAAGAAATTATATACAGTCTAGGGATTGTTCCAAATTATACTTTTGATTTAAAAGTAAGAGGACTTCCACAAATAATTATTTGTGTTTTGATCCCATAACCTTGTGGATTGTTTTATCCAGATTATACCTGGAGTTATTATAGCTAATTAGCAGCTGCCCATGAATTCATCCCCATTAACTAACTTTTTTGTGAATCACACAGAAACCTAACATTTTCCTGGTATCAAAAGCATCCTGTCTTAATCTAGATCATGATTTATATATTTACCAAATTTCACCCAAATCCGTTATTGCATAATCAAATAACTAACATTCAAATTTTCACATTTCTAATATTATTAGGATAGTAAGATGTCTTGCACTGGGTGTGAAAAAAAAGGATTTTTTTCCCTATTGAATGAATTCAGAAAAACATGATATTATCTATGTCTGCTTGTTTGTAATACCTACCTTTTGATTTCTATAACATAAGTGCCGCCACTAATTATTTCAAGTGAGCAAACAACAGTAAATATGTTATCATCCTAATATACATAACATCAATTAAGTATAAATAGTACAATAACATTAACATAAGTTGTTATTTTTACTAAAAACCAAAAAATGTATTTTAATTATAATATAATAAATAATTTCACTCATCATCCAAATAATTGATGTTGTACGAGTTAGTTAATTTAATGTATAAACAACAGAAGTCTCATCTCCTGGGCCCTGAAAGTACAGTTTAGCCATAGCTTTTATTTTGGCTCCTACGCACAATGCCCAGTGGAACATCCTGTTGGCTATTGCCGTGCGTCTTTGCCGCCGGCATGTGCCATGTGCCGCAATAACTTGGACAAAGACTGAGCTTCACAGAAATTTTCAGCAACCTGGTTGGCCAATAGTATTAGCTGTCATCTTTCTGTCAATGACAAATTGCGCCTAAATAATGACGTTTCTTTATACGCAGATTCGGGATATCTTAATTTGGTTTTCATACAGAATTACAGCGATTTTTAATGAATTTGTTGAAGATTTTGATGTGCTAGTCTTTTTATGTATAATTTTAAATGTTTTTTAAGATAATTTGTACCAATTTACAAAATTGGGCAAATTTCAAAGGTTGCTTGCTGAGTGGCCATAACATCAACTGACGGGAGTTCTCTTTAAGCGCCCTTTTACAAAATTGCGCCGCTGCCGTACTGATCGGCGCGTAGTTAGATTTGCACTAGTATACATTGCATTTTACGGGTGATGTTTCGAGTCTTATAAAATAATTATTAATGAACTAATTATAAAAATATATACATATTTCAGTAGTTGAATGATTGTAGATTAATTTTATGAAAATTTTTGATAGTAATTCTATTTAATTCAATATCAAAATACGAGGTAAACCTGCATTATTTTTTGGGAAAACTCACGGAGGTTAGATGTTTTTTTTTTGGTAATTAATGAGATAAAAAATCAAAATTCTAATAAATTATATTACAACAAAAACATATTTCTGATGTCGTAGTAATTAATTTGATCTAATTTATTGAACATTATTGAGAGATTGAGGCGTTTGAAGTTGTGCATATTATCGTTTTTTCCGTAAACTAGCTACAGTAGAAAGATCATTACAAAAAAACGAAAATAGTATTTGTAAATATTCTACATTAACTTACAATAGGAAGAATAAATCTACTGTTTACTTTTATTGCAAATAGTCAAAATCTTTTTCTAAGGGGGTAAACGAGGCGCTCAAAAATTCCAATTTTTTGCAAAAAATTTGAAAGTTCTCTTAATGCTCAAGCTTGTGTTGGCCACTGGGAACGTCGCCACACAACAGCTGCCGTCCTCACCCACAAAAGACTTGTATTGTCTCCCCACTAAAAATAAGTAAGAGAAGTACACCGTGTTTAAATTTACCCATTAGTGGTGGTACTTGCCTGTCGATAATTAGGGTTATAGGACAATATACTTTCAGACAAGAGACCTGAAGTTGACATGTCCATTAAGTATTATTGTTGCATTATAATATGCTCGTACATAGCATTCATCGAACAGCATTTCACAGTGCACAGTTGGACTGAATTGTCATTGACTGGGTTAGACAGAGAGATAACTGGTTGAGCGAAAACCGAAACGTATAACGGCAAAGAGGTATTGTATGCGCCATCACGAGCGCACGCTGTCGCCAAGCCAAGCGAGGGCCCATTGTTGTATCTACTTACCAAACGGGACATGCGACACTCTTGAAAGTATCTTAAACACTTGTAATTTACTACTCAATATTGCTATCAAAGACTGCAGCCATAATAACTCGCTACTCATTCATTGGTGTTATGTTCCAATTATGAGTATCTAGAGCTCTACATATTCGACCTAATGCCCGCAGCAGGGAAATTACCTGGTAATACCTATCAGGTTTATCAGCGGAGTAGTCCTTGTCAGAACATGTGAATAATTGGTACTTTTTGGTGAGAACCTTTATTTGTTTTATGGTCACGATTTCAACTATACGAGAGGGCCGGAGATGGCTCGCGGGCCCTAGTTTGCTCATCCCTGATCTAGGCTTTGGTGGCCGCTTAACATTGGGCTGGCCATATGCTTTCTTGCCTTTTTATACATATAAAATTCCAGTATGGAACCTGCTACTGGCACCAATCGAAATTAACGATACAACGATACAAAAGGTCATTTTCTGTAAAATAAGAATATCTTCAGATATAATACTAGCACTAGTCCAGAATCCAGATCCACTGTCCAATTCGAGAAATCCTGGCTAGAAAGTTATTTATTTCTCATTATTCTGTGATATTATTCATCAGATTGGCATAATATTTTAATTTACTATCTTTTATTATTATTGATAATTAATTATAAATCATCATTTCAATGCTTCATCTATAATATTACTAGCTGACTCGGCGAACTTCGTACCGCCCAAAAGTAATAATTTGCAATAAATTAAAATTGCGACTATAATTTGAGATTTAAACTATCCTATCTCTCAAGTTGGATCGAACTGCACAAGGTGTGCGAATTTTATTATAATCGGTTCAGTGGTTTAGGAGTCCATTGAGGACAAACATTGTGACACGGGATTTATATATATTAAGATTATAGCTGTTTAAATAAAATGCTGTTTTATTTATAATTAAACATATATGATATTCTATACACTATAGGCTGACATAGTCGCGCCTAGCTACTAAAGCCTTTGAATAAAGATATAAAAGTAGGTATCTAATTTTTTTATGTGTAACAAAATACATGATATTGATTAGATTCAAATATTTAAAAACAGCTGGTTCGGTGAAGTCTTCCTGTCTGGCATATCCTAAATACCACACAATGGAAACAATATGCGCGCAGGTAGGTACCTATCGTGACGCGCCCTGTTAAACATGTAGGCAATAATGTTGCAATATGTTTCCATTTCTATTTAATAATATGTAAAAAAAAAGTTCTGCCCTCACATAGGACTCTCTCGGGACTGTATGCGTGCACGCAACAGCCAAGCATCTTCATGAAGCTAAAACTAGCAGACATTGTAGCTGACACATCCAGAAGAGGGCCCAACAGTTTGAAAAATAGCTTATTTAGTGTCTTTTGAAAATTTAACAATTTCGCTTTTCGCAAAATAGCGTACGTACGTATCCTGGTGAAAACAAACTAATTACTTTCTTTTACTTGAAAATAAATAAGGTAAACCAAAACAGTTACCAGAAATACTAATCAAATTAAATAGATTATAATTAAAAATAGCGCTTGATTAGTATGCACCCATACGAATTGTGGCATTGGTATTTTACAGATCAAATGTAAATTTTAAGAATATTTGGTCGATTTTGAAAAAATAATTATTGGATTTGGTTTTCGTTAAAATAGTATCAGTTAAGTTTAACCGACATCTATATAACGACACTAAAGGGACTGTACATTTTATGGCGTTATAGAGAGTTGTCGTTAAATAGAAAGAAGAAAAATCAGA